ATATATATATATATATATATATATATATATTCATATATTTATGGGGACTCTCCATTGATTTCTGTTGTCATAACCCAAATCCCAACAATGACCACTGTAACCCCTACCGATCCCTAACCTTAACCATGAGTAACCAAACAAAATATAAGACTTTTGGCATTTTTAGCTTTTTGATTGCAGTCGCAGATTTTTATAATACTGCGGGACCCTAAAATGTCCCCACAAGGTAAAAAATGACACAAACACTCTAAAAAACACATATAGGCCCTAAGAAAATAACAAATAAGCTGTTGTGTGTCACTAGTGTTGTGTGAGTCTGCAGAGTGCCGGTGCCATTGTTACCAAAGGCCCTTTCCTCAGCGTATTAATTACATGGGTGCCAGTGGGGGCAAAAGGGCACAGGCTTATCTCTGCGGAGTTAAATGGGGTAAATGTGTGTACAGTATGTTTATACAGATAGGCTATGCTGTTATGTAGCTGCCCCGTGGGAATATCAGTGTTTGAGGTAGTATTCTTTTACATGGTGACAGATAAGGCTAATGTCTTGGATCTCCATTACGGCTGAGCTGGCCTCGCGCATAATAGCGGCGAATCTAACAGATGCCAAATCTGGCAGGTAGTCGCTGTTTGTAAGAGCAGCCGTTATTTACCGTGCTCGCTGGAGCAGCTAGCGGCAGCGCCCGCGGGGAACGCGCCCTCTTCCCGGGGTGAAACCCAAGCTTGGCGTCGCTGCCGTCTTCTCTGACATGGTATATTTGGTATATTGAGCCCGGGCATCCCACAGCACGGGGCGTCTGGCTACTGCAGACGCGGGTGAAATATCAGAGCTGCCCACCACACCCTGAAGAGCTTTAAGGTGGGAGCTCTGTGACCCAAACGGAGAAATAATACCTCTCCGAAGTTCTTACATTTTTAATGTAGTTTGTGTGGTCTGTTTTGAGATTTGTGAGAATTCCTAGTTAAACAGATTTATGAAAAAGATATTTAGAAGAATTATGCCAATGGGATGAAAAATCCATAAATTGATTATCCGAGTGGAAAATAAGTTTGTTGTCCGGCCGCAGTGGGTCCTGCCTGTTAATGTGTCACATATAAAACACACACCACAGTTCTGGCGCCATCTACTGGCCAGGCGGTTGTTTTGATTCCCTGCTGTTAAGGCAGGGGTCTCCTGGAGAGCTACCGTCCAGTTTTCTATCATATCCGGCTTCTGATGAGCCACAGCTGTTCTCAGGTAAATACCAGGAGCAGGTGTGGCTCATCAGAAGCCAAGTGGGACAGAAAACCTACTGGATAGTAGCTCTCCAGGACTGGAGTTGGAGACCCCTGTGTTAAGGAATTCATCTTCTCCTTCCAGTGTTCCCAATTCCTGTCCTGCAAGTCCTCGCGGGGCAGGGTCCTCGGGGTACCGGTCTATGAGGAACATCACCTCTGATCTGCAGATGGTGGCAGAGTTTGCTGCCAAGGCTGTGTCTGAGGAGCAGGCGGACATGTGCGAAGGCGATGGCCCCAAGGTGGGGATTCCTCTCACTGGACAGAAATCAGCCGTTTAGTATGACATCTGACATCATATATGCACATGGGAGTCAGTATAAGAGTAGCAACACAGAACCGAAAACAGTGCAGTAGCGGGTTGTTCATAAACACTGGGGTTTCCAGTGATACAGGATTTTGGGTGGAGGGGGGCAGTTTTGGAAGACAGGATGCATTAAATCAGCCCTGTGCATAGTTACCAGGTTCAAGATTGGATTAGATTAATTTCATTGTCATCATGCTTCTGTACAAGTACAATACCAGTGAAATGCAGTTAGCATCTGACCAGAAGTGCAAGAATATTATTTACAGATGGTGCAATAATAATTTACAGTGAAGTGCAGGAGCATAGAGCACGTACAAGAATCAGAAGTATATACAAAGTCTGCCATGTAGGAAAATGTACAGATGTGTACAAATATATGCAGGTGTATACAAAACACTGGATTTTGGGTTTCTGGGCGGGGTCTCAGCATGCCTTTGTGTCTGCTGCAGGATGAGTCCAAGCCACCCTACTCATACGCACAGCTCATAGTCCAGGCCATCTCCTCGGCTCAGGACAGACAGCTAACACTAAGCGGGATCTACGCCCATATCACGAAGCACTACCCCTACTACAGGACTGCCGACAAGGGCTGGCAGGTAGGCCCACCTTCAGAATGGTTATGCGTGGTTTCACTTTTGGCCAGTAGGTGGTATAGTGGTTAAGAAGATAGGCCATGATTTTGAAAAACACAAGAAACCAGATTGACAAATTGAACAGCATTGTCATTGACAGTAGACAGGACGACCAAATATTTAATATAATGAAGTTTTTTTTCCCTAGAAGTGCAAGTAGCCATAGAGCTGTCAAACTCGTCAAAATGTAGATATTTGATCATGATACCTGAATTCTGACCTCTCGCTTAGAGGAGCCTGTTAATTTAAAACTTTACATTGTTTAAACATCTGGCGTAGGTTTCCCAATTGCCCCCCAGTTACAAACAGAGGCTGAGAATTGCCCCTGAGTGTCCAGTTCCATAACCGCTGCCCTCCCTCGCTGGCAGAACTCCATTCGGCACAACCTGTCCCTGAACCGCTATTTCATCAAAGTGCCACGGTCGCAGGAGGAGCCGGGCAAAGGCTCCTTCTGGAGGATCGACCCCACGTCCGAGGACAAGCTGGTGGACCAGGCCTTCCGCAAACGCCGCCAGAGGGGCGTGTCCTGCTTCCGCACCCCCTTCGGCCCCCTGTCGTCCAGGTACCGACGCTCGCCCCGTCGCCCTGGTCAGGTGACCACGTGATGCCTCCTATCGGCTGTTTCCCTCAGACCTCTTGTCATTCATGGTTTTTTTTTTTGCCCCATCACCGTTGTCAGTTGTTTGGGTGGCACATAGTAATTCCCCTTCATATTCAGAAGATCTAGCTCCTCTTACTCATAGTCCTTTGCAGTTACGAACATATGTAGCAGCGTGTTTGCGGGGGAGCCTGCAATCACACATCTGGTTTTGGGATTCCTGCAGTGACCCAGATTGATATAATTTGTAATAATGAAACGAGTAGCTTGAACTGCATGTCAAAATTGCTGTCTGAAAACACCAGAACTGTAATTAATGCCCCACTGCTGGACTAGCTGGGTAAACCTCACCAGGCGGCCCTTTGCCTTCCAGGAGCGCCCCCGCCTCCCCCACCCACTCCGGCCTGCTGTCGCCCCACCCGAGCGGCATGCAGACCCCCGAGGCACTGTCCCGCGAGGGCTCCCCCAGCCCCCACGACCACAACCACGGTCCCAAGCTGGCCGCCGTGCCTGAGTACCGCTACTCGCAGAGCGCCCCAGGTGAGCCCCAGCATGCTGGGAAACCGCACCCTCAGCTCCTGACGTCTGGTGTACCACAGTACGGCATGTTTCAGGGCTACGTGGACTTGATAAATGCCTTTGGGTAAATGCTCCATACACAGGCTCTCCCATCAGTGCCCAGCCGGTCATCATGGCCGTCCCGCCACAGCCCTCGGCCATAGTGGCCAAGCCCCTGGCCTACGTCCCCGCCTCGCTCGTCACCTCCCAGCAGTCCGTGGGCCATGCCATGCACGTGGTCCAGCAGGCTCCCACCGTCACCATGGTCAGGGTGGTGACCACGTCGGCCGGCTCGTCCAATGGTTACCTCCTTGCAAGTGCCCCTGTGGCATCTGACCAGCAGGGGGCAGTACAGCACTCTGAAGTGAGCAGAGGTATGTATACTCACTGTTTGCTGTTGGCGAAACATCCACATCAAAAGTTTTCACTAAGTTTGTCCTTATATTAGCACAGTGTCTCGGCACGCCCAGCCTCACCGTGCTGCTGTGTCTCGACCCTTGTCTCGATAGGTGATGAGAAGCTGCAAGGGGGCTACACAGCGCCCCCTGCAGGCAGCGGCGTCATTCAGGCACTGGGGAGCCAGGCTGGCGGTGGCCTGCAAAGCGCCTTCCCGGTGCAGCCGGTGTCCTTGGGTCAGCACCAGCTACCGGTCCGAGCCGTGACCCAAAATGGCAAACACGTGCTACCTGTTGCCAGTGTGACCAGCAACATCTACGGTATCTGCCCTCCCCCCTGCCCCACACACACAAACACACACACACACAGGAAACTGAGCTGGTTAATAAGGTGATTATGTGATTTTTGAAATTTTTTTTAAAATTCTTGCTCTTGTTTTTACACATGCAATGTCAGTAGTCAGACTACTGCTTTCAGTTGTCCTGGACTTAGTCCTCTTCCTTTCCCCCCTCTGCCTGTTAGCTGTCACCAATCCACTTCAGATCCTGGCTGCCCAGGCCTCCACCTCCTCCCCGGTCACCTTGAACAGGCCGCCCAGTGTTGAAGCCAGAGAGCTGGAAACAGTGCCAGGCGAGCCCCAGGCCAAGAGGCCTAGAGCAGAAGATGATAAGATGGCTTCGGTGCCTCAGCCGGTCATTGTGATGAACCAGGATGCCAGCAAATAAAAAAAATAATAAATAACAGGAGAGACAACTCTCAGGATCCTTTAAATCTCTCCCCCTACCCCCCTTTCTATACACCGAGGTGTCAAACCATTAAGGGGTTGGGAAAGACTCTCTTAATACGAACATAACTTCCTTAGCTGAAGATACCAGTGGTGATGCAGGTTTGATAGTTTCATAGGAAGATGTTTGAGCCGAAGGTTGTGGACTCGTCATGCCTTAAAAAACACACACACGCACCCTGCTGTTCACAACTGGCAGTAAAAGCAGCCCTTTGGACCAAGAGAAAAGCATTTTTACCTGCAAGTTCTCTGAAAAAACATTGGAGTAGGGTTAGGGTGGGACCAAAACCACACGGCGTTCAGACTCTGAAATGAAAGCATTAATTATAGAGACAGGGAGACACCAAAGCAAAGCAAGGACCCGTGTGACCACCATGATGCACAAGCTGGTATTCTGTGTGAAACAGACTTTGATTTGTTACATTTTAATAGAAAAGTACGTCCAGAGTGACCACTAGGCTTTGAGAGACTCCTAGATGCGAGGAGGTCTGCATGCAGCAGATCTTTCAGAAACAATCACCAAATGTAGAGCCACCTGCTTTAAAATGTCACCATCTGGTGACCCTTGCTCGTCCCATAGCACAAGATGGAGTCCGCTGAATGAATGCCTTTTGGTTTTGCCCTTTCTTCCACGGAAGGCATATTTACTGCCATGCCTTTGTTCAGTATTTGAAATGCAGATGAAGGCAGGATTTTTTTTTTAAGTGGTAGGCAAGGGGTGTGGTTTGTAAAATAAGTTTATAAGAATCTTAAATGCAGGAGTTCACACGTCAGCGTGAGGGTACTTATGCAGAGGAGGGGGATTTGTGAAGGTTTTTTTTTTTTTTTTTTAAATCATGCCTTGCAGATCACATCCCCAAATCTGACAACACATTTAAATAATCACAGCAGTGTGTAATACTCATGTAGACGTATATGTCTGAAATGGTTTCAAATGCAATACCTGCTTTGCATAAGTATGAATGTAATTTACTGCTATAAGTCTGAAAACTACACCAGACACCGTACTGACAGAACAGGCAATTTGGGAAGGTTCTCAATCAGGATTCATAAACTAATTTAATTTAGAAAACATCTGAGGAGCTTTGAGTGCCTTTGAGATTTTTGGGTGTAAAATCTGTTCTTAATTCATGAACAAGCTTCTCTTAAACGTCATATAAATGAATGTCTGTTTACTCAGCAGTATTTTAAGGATATTACCTCACAATGCTCTCTGTCCACACAAACCGCTAAACACAGCATGTCGATTTGTGTCTAGGCATGAAAATATGCTTTGCTCTGGAACAGCGTTTCCCAACCCAGTCCTATGGGGCCCACAGGCGGTCCACATTTTTTATCCTTCCCAACTCCTGGTAGAGCATAAACGTGTACTTGTAGGTCCCCAAGGACCGGATTGGGCAGCCCTGCTCTAAAATGGTTGGCCTATCAACGGTGTTGTATGTTCCATAATTCCATCTCTGAAACAATCTTTCCTGGTTCCAGGGGTCACATAGATTGATTAATTTCTGATTGTCATGATTTCAATGGGAGGACGCCTCAGTGTCTGTGGAGTTTGCTTGTTCTACCCAAAATTGGTCAGGAGTGTTTGTGTCTCTGAATTACCCATAGTGTCTGTGTGTCTGTGCATGTTTGAACCTTGTATTGGCTTGGCTTCTCGTTCAAGGTGTCCCCTGGCTCTAGACCTGCGCTTATCTTTTATTTTTTATGCTCCAAGTCTGCTATGTTGAATGAATGGTTTCTAAGGAGACACCTGTGCTGTCATAGAAATACTGATGATTGGGGGAAAAATTAGTATATAGATGTAATGATTTTTGTTTTGGTAGCTTTCCTTAGTAAGTAGATGTCAGGGGGCTTTACAGCTGAGCACATAATTATCTGAACATGTTTGCTACCTACTGTGATGCTTTTATAACAAAGAACGCATCAGTAATGTGGGTATGCCCATTGAACTTGTATCTGTAAAGAAGCATAAGGGTGACTGTGAAAATGCACATTTGCACTCGGCTCTCGGCATGGTTCCAGCTCCATTCGCCTCCGGTCCTCTTTGGCCTCTGCCAGTCTTTCCATCTTAGCAGCCTTTAAATACTGGTCAGGTTTTCACCTGGAGTTTTCTTGTCTGTTTTACATTAAACTCATTGCTGTTAAGTAGAACAATAGCTATCCTAATTTTTTTAAAGATGTTATTTGTGATTTGTTTGTATTCATAAAATAGCTGCCTACTTACTGATCTGGTTGGCTGGTTATTCCACTTAGGGAACTGATGACCAGCCAGTCATTGTAATGCAACTCATCATCATTCCACAACAAATACTGTTGGAGGTGATTGTCGTGTGCAAATCTGTGCTTTCCTGTCCTGTGTCATTTCGGCCTTCAATCCTGCCAGATCATTCATCCTCATAGTTGTTCGCTGATGTTTTGTTCGGCCAGGTTCTGTCACTAAAATTTGATTTAAGACGCTTTCTGCATAGACCCCATCGTTTAACGCTTTGTGCCTCTGCTCAGGAGCATTGTGTAGTGAAATCATCCGGATCTCATCCTGCAAAAAGTATATCATTTCCAGTAGGGTTTTAATATTTTTCATTTTAAAACTTTACAGTAGCACCTGATTCTGAGTGGGCTTCTAACCTCCATGTAATATTAAAGTACAGGATTACAAACGGTATCTACATGAGTTGGAGACATCCTCAGTATCAATATTTCAGTTTTATTTAATATGGCTTTTGTATTGTTTTCCTGGATTATTCCAACCTGGAATCATGGTGATTTTGTTTGGGATTATTGGGAAGTTTTGGGAACTTAATATATTATTCTGTTTTTTTCTTTGTATATCAGGTAAGTAAAAGGTTGTAGAGTAGATAAAAAAATAAATAAAAAAAAATCCATAGTGTTCCCTCAAAGTGTGTGACTGTATTAGGACTGTTTAGATATACTTGAATCTGAAATTTAATTAAATATCCCTATTACTATAAATAGCTAATGGAAAATATGCAAAATTTGTTATGTTAAAAATTCACATCTGAGACATGCAACATATTTAAAACTGGAATACAGCTGTTCACCAGTTACATTACGGTGTGTTTTTAAGTGCTAGCTTTTAATAAATGTTCACAATCTTGCACCTTGAAACAGGCTTGATGGTTCCACAGTGGTTTTTGAATCGTCCAGAATCCCCTAAAATTTTCATTACTATTTATTTTGCAAACTGCGTTAATGAGTCCCAAAGTCTGGCCACCAGTTTGCTTACAGTCACAGGAAACGTGAGCTTTGCATATGCCACTGTGAACCCACAGGAGGAGGTAAGATTCGCATTAGGTTACTCATAGTCGCCTTCACCTTTCTCCTTGTTTTTCCTGTTGCTGTCAGGCCCTGTGTCACCAACAGTCATGGTTTTATTGTGAATCTAAAAGGAAGTTTACTCTGTGTCGGCATGTGGATGTGAAACAAAACCCAACTTCTGAAGTGCCTGAATGGGACAATGTCTTTATATCAAGGAAAAGTTAAACCAAAGCACTAACCCATACGTTTTAACTTCTTAATAAATGCACATTGTGAACATAATAGTGGTGGTGTGGTTTGATATTAAGCACTTCCAACCGAGGGCATAACTTTAAGTTGAGCATTGGGTGGGTTGAGGTCTCCACCCGTTTAAGGGGGTGCAGGGGTAAAGCTGAGTGGTGGCTCTGAAGTGGGGGATCTGTGCCAGCACCCAGAAGCTTGCTGGTTTGAATTCCATGAATGCCAGGAGTGATTCTACTTAATTGGGTCCTTGAGCAAGGCCCTTAACCTGCAGTTGTTTTGTCCTGGGTATGACATTGAAATACATCCAGCCCTACAAGCGGGTTCTCCCACTTTCTGGGAAAATTGGGGGGTTAGCAACAGGATTGGCACTCCAGCCACTGGAAAAACCTTCACACTGTTCCATTCAGACTAGTGTGGTGCTGAGGTGCACGGCTGCATTCGGGTTCTTATCCCTGAGATGGTTTGTCATATGGTGGGTGAGGCAATGAGCCTGTGCTCCTTACCACAGGGGATTGTTACACACCCCCCCCCCCTATAATTTACACCCATGCTTCCAACAGTATTTTATTTTATAATTTTTTTTGCACATCATCTGGGATTCACTCTAAGTGTACTGTATGACTAACAATCACCATCTATGAAAGACTGGTGCCACCAAGGAAATGGTAAAGTCCAGTTTATCCATCCATCTCTTTTCTGTGCCCGTTTATCGGCGGTCTGGGGGCTTCGGTTTCAGGCGTTCAGTTTAACAAAATCATATTTGTTGTAGTTCGTATTTATGCTTATATTTCGGATGAAAGATCCAGTGATAAATTTCGTCGTCACATCAGGGCGTCATTCTGTAACACATTTCTTCAGTTTAATATCGTTAAAATTGAACACATTTATTAAATATACTGCCAGCTTCCTCAAAAGGTAAAGTGTAGTGTGGGTAGATTTCCGTTTCCCTATCAAATCAATGTCATCGTCCCATGACCAGCCGTTGAAGTCCACAGCTTGTCCTAGTACCCGCATTGCAGTCAAGCTTTGATTGTCGCTTAAATAAATCTGATTATGCTGCAAAATCCATCTCCCCACGCGCCTGACTGACATTTCCCATGATGCTCAGCGTACTCGTCTGACCAGAAGTAGCTGAACCCGGAAGTGTTGTTTTGTTACTCTTTGACGGGACGCGATCCCTCATGTTTATGGTGGGGGTGAGAGAGCTTTCCCGAAAAAGCTAGTAACACCTTTAATTATGTATGCTCAAGGAACGGAGAGTTTGATCAAGCAAGCAAGGTACGAACTCGCCATTTGAAATAACACGCGCCTACTTCGGCCAAAAGCATTATTATATTATTATTAGTATTCTTGTTGTTGTTATTATTTGCATGTGAGATCGTTTTCTATTCAAGCATGTTACGGAAAATATGTTTGCAGGCCTACAGATTGCTGTATATGTTTTTTCCTAAATTTAAGAGAAATAAATGACGAAGAGCTGGTGAAGTTTTACGGGCGCATCTCGAAACTCCTTCTAAATAAAGATTATGGAAATGAAACGGTCGACTCGCTGCAGAGACTGCATTTAATCGTCTCCGCGACGAAATATGGCAGAAGGTAGGTACCCTGTGATCGTCCGCAAACTACTGCTTGAAACTTTTTAATAATGCAAAAAAAGCGTGCATTACCCGCCTGCTCTGGTGTTTTATATGTAATGCTTCGTGATTTTTGCTGTGCTCTTCTCATCAGTCCTTCGAAATCTTTGCCTTTCGGACATTAGATTGCCATCAGACCTCCTTGAGAAACTGCAAGCCCTGCTCTGCTCCCCTGGGTCCTCGGAGCAGCTTCAGGTGCTCTCTTCGTCCATCCTGCGGGAGGGCCTGCCCCTTAGCGTTGCCAAGCTTCCTATAAAGGACCTCCAGGACAGCAGGACCACCAGCTATGTGGCATCTGTTATTCTTGCACAGGTATCTAGAACCAGGATTCTCCATGTTTTCTTGATACTGAAGAACACCCGGCAGGTGGGTGGAGCACCTAAATGCTTGGTTGGTCTCTCCCGCTCCCGACAGGCCAAGAGCAAGGCTGAGCTGGCTGAGCTGAGCCACCATTTGCTGAAGGCTGTGGAAATTCGCCAGCCTGACGTACAGGTGTGCCGCCACACACTTCCAATTCTCTCTGCAGCCATCCGTTCTTCTCCGGACGTTTTGATGGAGGGTGAGAATCAAGTATCTAACAGAATGTAACGTCTGTGTAATCTTTATGTATATAAATGTGTGTAAAGCTTGGAAAGTTTCTTAATCCAAATTGTAAATGTAGTTTGCTTCACTCAGAAACGTTACCCTGCTTTCATCTGTGTTGGTCACCGGTAGTCATATTCTTGTTGAACTAAGGTCTGAAGAAAAGGCCAATTGTAGCTGCATATTACTTTTAACAAGTTAAAGTCATAGAAAGATCTGTGAGATTTTTTTAAGTAGCTGTTTTTATTTCTTTGATTTCTATCTCACTGCCACAAAGGGATGCTTGTATGTCTGATAATGAAGGCTATCTGTTTGCAGACCATGTGAACCTGGTGAACAGGAAGTTGGTGGACTGGCTGCGTTATGCCAGCAACCAGCAGGGGGCATCCATGTCCACCGGAGGATTCTTCATGGGTCCTAGAGCTCGACAGGTAGAGATGCACTTGTCGCTCCATTCGTTGGATCTTTAACATACCCGCTGGGTTGATGCCGCATCAGGCGGTCCAAGCTAACCATCGATCCCCTCCTGCCAGCCGGCTCCCATGAACGAAGTTGATGGCGCAGTTGCCGGAGATTTCTTCACGGTGCTGTGTGTGGGTCAGAGCTACACCGAGGACCAGTGGATGAACATGTATGCCTTCTCCATGCTGCGAAAGTGGCTGCGCACCTACGACATCGAGGAGAACAGCGGCTCAGGCGCGGGTATGTGTACCGCTGAACGCTGGGTGGCATGTTAGCCGCTTAGCCAGCCGACGGAAGCTAGTGGCTAGCTAAAAGTTGCTGGGTGAATGGATTCTAATTGTCATTTTGGAGAATTCCTGTCCATTTAAGAAGCTTAATATTTCAGCATGTGTTGAGTAGATACGTCCTGGGTGGAATGTTAGTTACTGCCAGGTTTGACCCACTGACACCAGTGAGATACCTAATGGGAAGCAGGTTAAACGTTCGACAGGTGCAGTCAGACCCTCCCGTCAGCAGCAAATACTGGCCTGAGACCTTGGGAAGTTCGTAGAATTTAAAGGTGTATTTCTTTGCTTTCACCAGCTCAGGTTAACAGAGTGCAATTTACACAGCCCTTTTCAGGTAAGGCAGAGTTGCTTGAGGTCACGCTGCCCCCTGACCTTGATCCTGTTCTGTCCTGTACTATATAATCAATCGTTCAGCCGGTTACTGATTTTCTTGCATGTGCCGTTCTGCATGCTTTGGGCTTTAATAAAATTCTGCATCCACAGAATAAAACCATAAATCTCCCTGTCAAAAATCGATGATTTCTTTGCAAGCACTGCTTCCCCTGTGAATGAAAATGTGCGTTGTATCGGTACAGTAGCGCATCACAGAAGCGCGAGGCTAACACAGCGTGCCACATCACCGCAGATGATCGGTCGGAGGTGGACGGCTCTGTGATGTCCATGGTCTCCGCCACGTCTTCCTCGAGTCGCCTGCTGCCCCCCAAAGAGCGCCTGCGGGAGAAGGCCTTCGAGTACTGCCAGCGCCTCGTGGAGCAGAGCGACCGCAGTGAGTGTGTGTGTGTGTGTGTGCGTTGGAGTGAGGTTCGCCAATGACTAACTGTATTGCCAAATTCTGGGTCCCCCGCTCTTCCAAACAACAGACACATGTCGTGTTATAAAAGCAGCACCGCCAGGCGGCTCATGTTAATCTTTGTTCTTGTTTTCTTTTATCTTCTCACAGAGGCAGTGAAGAAGGCCGACACGGAGCTGCAGAAAGCCGTAAGCGCTGGCCGCCGTCTCGTCCATCTGTCAGCGGGCCGGAAGCAGCCCGGAATGTCCAGCTAGTTTCCTGAAATGTGCCTCCTTAACCCACCAGTGCCTTGTGGAGGCCGTGACCATCATGAACATCATCTGTAAGGAGGACCCCTCCTTCGTGTATAGGGCCTTTCCTTGCATCAAGGCACTGTACAGCCGGCTCAGCGGAGACCTGGCCTTCTCGCGAGTCCTGCTGCCCATCGCGCAGTTCTACCTCAACCACAGTGAGTCGGCTGCCCCTGACTGAGGTGGGGCGGAGCCCCGGTTTATTGTGTGTCGCCCCCCCTCCCTCAACCCTTTTCCCCCCCATAATTCAGGTGAGACGGCGGCTGTGGACTCTGAGGCGGTCTTCCGCCAGCTCTTCTCCTCGTTCCCTGCCGAGCTTTTCAACGAGCCCATGCTGGCCTTCGAGTTCGTCCAGTTCTGCCGGACCAACATGGCCGTCCTACAGGAGAGCATGCCCCTCTACGGGCAGAGCTTCCCCAACCTCCTGAAGGTGAGCCCCCGCCCTTCTGTTCCCTTGGTTAGCCCTACCCCCCCGTGTTGCCATGGTAACCACAATCTCTGCCTCTGCCGGAAGTTCTTAGCCTGGAACAGCCCCGCCCTGGTGTCGGAGTACATGGAGCTGTTGCCCTCCCTGCTGGCGCCCAGCACGGCCATCGAGCTGCTGCATTCCCTGCTGGACCTGCCCTGCTTGGCGGCAGTGCTGGACCTCCAGCTCAGGTGCGCCACAGAGCCGCCATCCCCAGCAGGGGGCGTCGGGGAGCACATGTAATATTAACAGTAAGGGGGCTGAAGTCCTTCTCACTGAACATTTAATCATAACTAGAGTTTTCAATGTATATTTTATTATGCTTCATGCTTAAGTACTTCAGTGTCTGAATGCTAAGCAAGTGTACTATTTGTGAAATTAAAGGTTTGTGTGTGTGTGTGTGTGTGTGTGTGTGTGTGTGTGTGTGTGTGTGTGTCCGTGTCCCAGGTCAGCATCTTACGCTGCCTCTGAGAAGACACTGTGGGACTCAGGAGGCAGCAAAGCTCCCAGCTCGCTGGATGCTTTCCGCCAGCCCCACTACAGGGGCATGTTCCTGTACATCCTCAGGCCAGAGGCAGGCACTGGAGACACCATTGACAGGTCAGCTCTGCCCCCTAGAGTTCAAAGAGAGTAAAGCAGCAGCTCAGATGTCTTTACTTGTACACCTGAGTATGAGGAGAGTTAAGTGAGCGTTCCCCTTGCAGGCTGAGAATGCTGCACGACATCCTGGCCGACATGGTGGAGAGCCCCCGCGTAGTGCAGTGTGCCCAAACCGTCCCTGTCCTCTTGCACGTATACTTTCACACTGTTGCCCAGGTAACAGCATCATAGATCACAGGCGTTAAGTGATTTTATACTCTGATTGGGGTGTTTAGCTCCGCGGCAGCATGCTAATATACACTCACCTAAAGGATTATTAGGAACACCTGTTCAATTTCTCATTAATGCAATTATCTAATCAACCAATGTTGTGTGTGGTCCTGGTCAAGACAAACTCCTGAACTCCAAACTGAATGTCAGAATGGGAAAGAAAGGTGATTTAAGCAATTTTGAGCGTGGCATGGTTGTTGGTGCCAGACGGGCCGGTCTGAGTATTTCACAATCTGCTCAGTTACTGGGATTTTCACGCACAACCATTTCTAGGGTTTACAAAGAATGGTGTGCAAAGGGAAAAACATCCAGTATGCGGCAGTCCTGTGGGCGAAAATGCCTTGTTGATGCTAGAGGTCAGAGGAGAATGGGCCGACTGATTCAAGCTGATAGAAGAGCAACTTTGACTGAAATAACCACTCGTTACAACCGAGGTATGCAGCAAAGCATTTGTGTGCCACGTAGAATTAAGGCAGTTCTGAAGGCGAAAGGGGGTCAAACACCATATTAGTATGGTGTTCCTAATAATCCTTTAGGTGAGTGTATATTTACACTAAAGTGGGGCGTGTTTGCACAAGTTAGTACTTAAACAGGCAGTCCCCGGGTTAAGAACGTCCAACTTACGGACAAGTCGTACTCACAAACGGACTGCCTTAAAATGTGTTATTACAAATTTGGGTAAATACAATGGTTTGTAATAACGAGTGCATGCTCTGCTTTGTGATGCTCATGAAAACATTGTATGGCTTCCGCAGTTGGTCCACTCGAGCTACTCTACAGTACGTTATGTACTTTTATTATTACTGTATTATTATTATCTACTGTATTATTGTTTTTCTGACTTGTACAAATTCAGTAGACTTGGGGACCGGATCTCGTCCGTAACCTGAGTACTCCCTGCACTCTCATATATCCTCCAGTCCACAATTTTTCCGTAATTTGCACGGTGTGAGTCAGCAGAGTTTTATTCCATTGTTTTAAAATACACAAGAATGTAATTGTGTGCATGTTTCCAGAATGTAGCCCTGAACGCTGAGAGCAGACAGGAGCGTCTCCCATAGCTTCCACCTACCCACTTAGTCTGTATGAAATACAGGCGTTTTTTTTTTTTTTTTTCTTTTTTCAGGCGGGATATTTGGAAGGACATTGTCTGGCATGAGTCAAATGCATAAACTAATTTATCCACTATATTCTAGCTGTGTAATTTCTATATTTTTCCACAGCTTGGTGTGGGGCTGCGTGGCTCAGTGGACTAGATCCCACACCACCCTGTTGGTCTTTCAGACCAGGGTTTGAGTCCTGTGGCAGGCAGAGTAATGATATCACTGTTGGGCCACTGAGCACGGCCCTTAATCCCAGCTGCTGCTGGGACGCTGGATGCTGGGTGACCCTGTGCTCAGAGCCCAAGCATTCCTGCTAAATAAATCAGTACGAATGTCGCGTCACTGCTGGTCAGTCACCCCAGCTGCCCCCGTGTCCCGTTCAGTTTGCAGATGATAAGCTGATCAACCAGCTGGTCCTTGTCCTGCTGGAGAGGAGCAGCCTCCTGATGGACATAAAGAACTACCAGACGGAGGTGCAGAGGTGGGATTCATAACCTGCTTAGGATTTTCTGAAGCGCTCATTTACTCCGGATGTGTTGTAACCTCTCCCTTCTCGCAGAGTCTTCAGCTCTCACTTGCTGGCCTTATGCAAGCTCCACCCATCTCTCATCATGGAGCAGTCGCGGGAGCTGTTGGATATGGCCGGCTCCACTATCAACATCTACCAGAAGGAGGAGCTCTACACACACGTGGTAGGCGTTCAGCCTTGCTAAAAAGGAGTCTGGGAAAGATCCATGTTACCACCCAGTCTAAGTAGCTAGGGTTTTAAGAAGGTTTGCCGCATTGACCTCCCAATCAAACCAATAGGAATGACGCGGTAATGCTCATTACCCTGATGCTAATCAGCACGCGGACACAAAAAGGCCCCTGAGTCTGAGCGTGTCCAAGAAGCCCATGTAAGGCACGTCTCTGCTCTCGCAGGTGTGGGCGATCGGCGAGTACCTGTCCCTGTCACATGACGCCCGCTGCACGGTGGAGCACATCACGTCGTCCTTCGAGACTCTGGAAGCTGTGCTCTTTGAGATCACACAGGTGCGCCAGTCAGCCAGCGCCCCCCGCTTCTCCCCGCGCCTCGTCACCGTGCTCATGACCACGCTGGCCAAACTGGCCTCCCGCAGCCAGGACCTGATCCCCAGGTGAGACGCCACATATCCTTTGGTTATTTCTGGTCATGAGTACTAAGAAATGTTTGCGCAACGTAAATCTGATAATTAGCTGATAATCATTCAGTGGGGAACCATCTCCGGTTGGTTTTAGATCCTTAGCCTAATGCTAATGTCACTGTGCCCTCCTCCTCAGGGTGTCCCTCTTCCTCTCCAAGATGCACTCGTTCACCTGCAGTGCTCCGGTGGTAGCCTGCTACAGCGAGGAGGACCGCGAAGCGATTGTCACTCGCGCCCATGAGCTCGTCAACCTGCTGAAGCTACCCAATGTGGCCCAGTTCGTGTTGACGCCGTCTGCGTCTGGCGACACCCCGCGCTGGCACCGCGACACCAACGCCTCGCTGCCATTTGCTATGCGGGCGCTGAGCGGCCTGCTGCCCAAGCACAACACGTTCCTGACCGGGTGAATGGCAGGCCGGAGTCCGGGCAGGAAGCCAAAGTCTGCCACTCCAAGCGTGATAGAAAGCCCGCAGGTTTGGGAAATCCTGACAGTGACTGTACTGGAAGTGTGATGTCAGGTGCAAGGTGTATGTCCCTGTGAGACACTTAGGAAATTACCAGGAACTAAATTCTGAATCTTTAGAATATTCCTTTACCAGGACATAACAGGAAAACCGTTTCCCAGTTGCTGTGAAGGACTGGGCAAGGATGGGGCTTCGAAATCTACTCACTTGCATTTATTGTAATTGTACACAAATACACATTTGCAGTTGGACTTTAAATACTAAACATCTAGGCACATTTAAATGTACGCCAAGAAAACAGGTAGCTGAGGTACTGTTTTAGGTTTTTTTTGGTAAAGTTAACATCTACATTTACTTATACAGTGCTTTAAAATGCAGGCTTGTCTTAACGTTACTAAAACAGCCAGTAACTTGCACACGGGTAGGCAGTTATAATGTCTATCATTGTTTCCCAAAGCTAGAAAGTTGACAGTATTTTTTTTTTTCATTCCACTTAATACAGTGTTCCAGTGTTTTTTTTTTTTCTTCTACAAAACGTAAACTGTAAGTTGTTTTCAGTACATTAAAACTTTTAATGTAAAACATGCATTAAGTATTAATAAAAGGAAGGAAAGGGTGCTAAGAGTGGTTTTGGTCTGGCAGCTTGATTTTCAAATCATATAGATTGTTACTGACAGGTATAAATGTCTGGTTGGCTGGTGTTTTGGGGTGGTGAGGCAGAACGCGGTTAGTTTCTGTGTCGTTACCCATAATGCCTCAGAGCAGTAAGATCAGCCCAGACCTGCTCAGCAGAGAGAGGCTCTGATCATGGAGGATACCTCAGGGTCCATCTTCTCCACCAGAAGATTCAGCCTCCTGCCTCCCCAGCGGATCAGATCCACTGCACTGAAATGGGAGGGGAGGAGAGGGGGGGGGGCATAATTAGTAAGGCTTCTTCCTGAAGGTGTCAGCATTGGTCCCATCGACCTGTGATCAGGTTTTACAGCTAGGCCGTTTCCTGCTCTGCTGATGTGCCAGTATTTATAAGAGTGACGCGCTGACCTCTGGTAGTCTGATCCGGTGACGTCTGTCCCGTTCACCGCCAAGATTCTGTCGCCGATCCGGAGGCGCCCGTCGGATGAGGCTGGCCCGCCTGGGACCAGGGTCCGAATATAGATGCCTGGGGCTTGAAGTGGTGTTTGCTGGAGCGAGAGGAGCGAGTTTAGTGTGTCCTCTAGGGTGAGCTAAACATCTGCTAGTTAGCAAAGGTCACAGAAAAGCGGCATAGCGTAGAGTAGCGAGACCCACCGAGCATGAAGAGGGCAGCAGCCCCCACACACCTATGATAACATCAAAGATCTTAACCATCTACAGATAATGTGTTTTAATGCAGTAGCACAGAGTTACATGCTCACTCAGTAATCTGTGAATATATGGGTCATTCTCACAAATTGATTACAGTACCAATCAGTTTTCTCTATTTTTTTTTTTTTTTTTTTGTTAGTTTGAAAACACTCAAATTGTTACCTCTGGGGTAGTTAACCAGGTTTATTATGTTACCATTGATTTAATACTTTTTAAAAAATTTACTATTTCAAAAGCAAATCCAGGGCAAGCGTTACAGAGAAAATCTAACAAAACAACTGAACAACAAATATACATTTTATTATAAAAATTGATTGTTTATTGGTTATATTGTTGTTTACTGGTAATATGCAGTAAAATTGAAAGATTTTATCTAGTTTTGTGTTTGATCTTAAAACTGCAAAGGTACTGAGATTTATGGCTACCTATTTGAGGAAAAAAATATTTTAATTGTTAAATCAGAGCAACTATAATGTAATTTTAATAAGCATTCTCCTCATGTAAGTGATGTCAGTCGCCCTACACAAAACACACTGCAGTTCAATGTTCCTAAAAATTCTCAATTCCATGAGAATGACCCCTATGTGTAATTTATCAGCCAGAAGGGGTGGCTCACCAACCCGTCGATGAGCCCCAAGCCCAAGCCAAGCGCTCCCTTGTCCAGGTGCACTGTGAAGACAAGCTATATTAGCAGGGCCCCCTGCTGACAGGGAGAGCTACTGTGCACATTGAGGACATGAAGAATAAGCACTATGGCTAATGGCTAATCGTCAGGACAGGGCTGTAATTCAAAGGCAGGCTGAACTCGCTGTGCTCTGACCTTCTATCTCGCTGGCAGCGAGCCCATCGTTCCTCTTGGTGCTGGGCGGGGCCGGGCCTCCAGGCCGCCGCTCCGTGTCGGGGTAGTTAGGCGTGGTGGGCGGAGTCAACAGGCAGGAGGCGTTGGGGGGCTGCGCCACCTGCTGGTCATCCCTCAGTCGCACCCCGGCTATCTGCAGTCCCCTGGGGGCCGTGCCCTGACCCCCCATTGAAGCCTTGGACTTTGGCCTCTCCTCCGCCTGGGGGGTCGCTGGGCCCTGGTACCCCAGAGATGGTGCCCCATTGCCCTGGAAAGAGCAGGTACCCACACTCCTCAGAGCTGGGCCTGGTGTCCCATATCTTCTGCCCGAGGCCGACCCTGATCATGTGACTGTGCCAGCTGAATGGGCCTGGAAGGTTCTGGTTCACCTCCACTTAATACTGACTGAATCACACTACAGGCCCATAGCTGTATGTTGTTGCTCATATAACAGCAAATGGGATCAGTTTGTCCCAAAGTGTAGCGAGACTTTAGAGTGTTTTAGGGATGATGTGGGCGGGTTACCTGGGGCTCCCCCCTTACTGGGATGCACGGCGACTTGGTCCTCAGCCCCCACAGGAAGTGCCGTAGGTAGAGCAGCTGCCGGTAGATGCTGTCATCCACGGCGTCCGAGTCGAGGGCCACCTGGTAGCCGCCGCTGGGCAGCACGATGGGGGGGGGTTCCTCGAAGCTTTCCAGCAGGTCGGCTGCAGGACACCAGGGGGCGGAGCGGTTGGGGTGTTGCACTGTTTCTCAAACCCGTCCTCAGGGGCCCCCAGACTAGCCACGAGGGAGCAAAAACAGGGACTGTCCGAGGCCCCCAGGACCGGCTCGGGAAACACTGGGCTGACGTTACTTACATATGCTTACGTGAATGACAACTGAACCTCGCACTAAAATCAGAAATACAAGGAGATGGACAAATGGCTTCTTTCTTTTTCAACCGTCAGGTTTTTGGGTTACGGTGTTTAGCCTTGGTGTGTTTCGTTCCCAAAGGGAACCTGCAAGTGTTGTGAGTTTCCACGGAGCCGCGTGTGATTGTGGGGCGGGGGCTCACCCGTCCTGTAGGGGGGTACCTCCTCCTCGGCGGTGGGCTGCCAGACGGCTGAGGGCCGGCTCTCTGCCACCAGGAGGCACTGCGTCAGGATGTGGTGGAGCTGCACAGGCTTAAGGGCGGGGTAGGTCACACATAGTGACCGCCAGCTCATCTGTGCGTGGGGGGTGTGAACGAACTGTGTTATAATCACACTAATTACTGACTCCTTTCTTTACGTAATGGGACATGAGCTGTTTTTTTTTTTTTTAATTCCCAGAGTGTTTTGCCATAACAGCTCCTGTTTATTTGAGGAACCTGAAAATAGGAACAGAAGGGATTTCACCTCTCCCACAAGGTGAGGGAAACACCCGCTCTGAAAATCCACCTCGGTCTCCATCTCACGCCCCCTGCTGGATGGCTGTGCGCATGCGCAGTAGAAAATGGCGCTGGGTGCTCGCTGATTAGCAAAGCAGTGGAGAAACCGGGTATCTGATACCGCTGGCCTGCCCATCACTTCAGCAGGGAGGGAGGATATTCTCAGCCTGGGGTGGGGGCTAAATCAGCACAGGGACCAGTACCTGAGCAAGTTCCTGGGGGGGCGTGGCCATGATGCCGACAGCACAGCGGAACTTTGAGAAGAAAGTTTCGGCCAGGCGAGACAGGCCTGCTCTCTTGGTCCAGTCCAGCAGTGTCCTTAGGCTGGCCTTCAGCTGGAGCCCACTGGAGAGCCGGAACCAGCCTCTGGCCGGGCCTGAACAGGCAGATGGGTCAGAGAGGCCACAATGTCACCAAAAAGTCATAGGCTTCCTCTAAATCCGGGCTTTCAGTCCTGTTCCCAGCGGACCCCCTACCAGAATGTTCTCATTCCAGTCCACACTGCCTTCAACCTTCCATATTCATTATTAGCCTGCTAAGGACCATCTGAGCCTGATCAAGGTAGAGCTGGAATGAAAACATTCTTCGGGGCACCAGGATCAGGACTGAGAACCACTGCTGTAAATGACATGAGATTCGTAATTTAATGCTGCAAGAGCCCGAAACGTGGGTGTCACCCATGTAACACTGTACAAAACATGATGACCGACAGTCCTGAGAATCCTACTACTTAAATTTGTGTTACACTGGTGAATTTTTATTGAGCCAAAAGCATAAAAGCACCAAGATCACTGACTGGTCACTATGTCTATATCAGCTGACGTGGCTGGATAAGGCAGCAGCGTGACACCAGGCGACTACAGACCACATTTTGGGTGGAGAGCCAAGCTGCACACCCATAGAAAGCAGCTTTGAGATTAGAAGCTGAAAAATGCAGATTTATTCTCCCTATGATCACATGTATTTTACTACTGCTTACGTGACTGAAAGTGAAATGTAAAGGTAAACATAAGCAATAGCTGATTTCCGGTAGACATAGATGCAAAATGCCTGTTTTCCACATTAGTGAGAAAATTCCACAAAAAGGCTGGAAACACTGGAATTCAGCTGGTAAAACATTGCACAATACGAGGTTGCAAAACCTCTGATCTCTAGGGTCTTTGTGTTCTATCACAAACAGGCTTTGGCCATTATTCCTGGAAAGCATAAAATGAAAACATAACTGATTTAAAAAAAAAATTTACATCCAGTGTTATGTGTTGGGGAATATTGATACTGAGGAGAATGCTTCTGTGGGACACCAGAAGACTGTGGAGAAGCAGATTCCTAAGTTTCCACAAGTGCCCAGGTCTCAGGAAGCAGCTTCGTGGAGTAGTGAACTACATACATCTCCAGATGCTGAAAAGACGACAGCTACAAAAACAGCAAGAACAGCCCCAGTAAACTCGTATGGCACAGTAGTTATCCAGGAGTACTGGCACAGAAAGGGCAGGAGCCAAAGATAATGAGGGGCTGCCTCTATTTATGGGGCATCTGCCCTGGCACCCGAGTCCCCAAATGCACCTTTCCCTACAGTGATGCGATCTGCGCTCTCCTCAGTAGGGTGTCATTACAGCGCCCCCTGTCTATGGGGAGGTGGCAAGAATGTTCTCTGGAGGGTCTGACTGCCTTTGGGGTGGGGGGGGACAGGATGGGGGGGGGGAGCTGTATGAGGACAAGCAAAAAGTGAAGAAAATCTCTTTAGCGAAAAAGTGGGCCGGGGGGGGGGGGGCAGTTGGGGGAGGCAGCTGACAGTAAAGCCTCTTAGCAAAACGCCTGACACATTCCATATTTAATATGCATATTTATAACAATTAACAAGCTCAAGCTGTGAGCATAAGTGTAGCTTACCAAGCAGAGAGCCTTTATTTAGACTGTCAGGTGCCATCGACAGACTACAATGTGCCGCTTCCCTGCGTGTCACCTGACTCCTGCCGTCTCACTGTACTCCCGAACAAATTCAGCTTTCAGTGATTTTATACATTTCTCATAATTGGCCGTGACCTTTCTGTATGTATAATTATATTGTAGATGCTTGGTATGAGTCACAGCCTCATTTAAGGTATCATGGTGTATCTGCTTAGTGAGGACCCTGAGGCCATCCTCATTAAGGTGACTAATTGCTCTGTTGTGTGCTGTAATAATTCCTTCAGATTGGTTTGTAATTGAGAAAAGAGTATGGGCTGCCTAGCATGTATCTGCAGACTGATGACCCCCCCTCCCCCAGCCCCACCCCACGCACCATTGTCCATCAGCTGGTTGAAGAGCGCCACGTTGGAGAAGAAGAAGAGGTAGGCGAGCATCTGTGACTGGATCTCCGGGTGGATCTCTGAGCGCTGCAGCAGAGCCTGGGCAGCCTGGAACATCTGCAGGGTCCTGAGCAGAGATTCGGGAGCCCGTCTGTCCTTCTGGGGGGGTGCTGAGTCCAGCAGCCCCATCAGGGACTCGTATAGGGACTGGGAGCGACAGAGGCAGAGCAGAGAGGGCAGTATAGAGCTACGCATCGCGAGAGGCCAGTCCCACTGGGGGGGGGGGGGGGGCACTCTGTCCTCTTTTAGTCCACCTAAAGGAAAACGCATGTCAGCACATGCAGAGTTTTCCATCAACATTCCTCAAATATAGTCCTGTGAGTACAAACATATCCCCCAGGGACACTGTAGCAAGGGCCCATCCCAGGCAGTGATGTACAGCATAACCATTCTCTGCTCATGGATAATCCGTCATTATTACTGGCTCACTCACTTGGTCATGTGGTACACATACTGCTGAAATGCCAACACTGTTACTTCCTGTACCTGGATCATGTGGTTCATGCAGTGCTGAGATGCTAACAGTATCACTTCCTATAACCTGGTCACATGGTACATATACTGCTGAAATGCTGATGCTGTCATTTCCTGTACCTTGGTCATGTGGTACACGCATTGCTGAAATGCTGACATGATCACTTCCTCCAGGGCGGTCACACCGTCTTCGCTGGCTAACACAGCAACATTGAACACCGATTCTTTTGCATCTAAAAACAAAGCAAAAACATTTAAATTAGATTACTAACTAGCCACATTTCCTTGAAAGCTTAAGCATATTTAGACAGAGCTAATAATAAAATACACACAGTCTAATGTGTAAAAGCCTTTACATGATCACAAACAGCTGTATCACAATGAGTGTAAAGGGTTATTGTTCTATAAACAGATAAGATATAGATTGCTACAATATAATTACATTGGCTGCTATTGGTTTAATATGCTTCTCCTGCTTCGGCTTGATTTTCCATCTGAAACATGCAGCTGTAGCACAATTATGGCAAACATGCCGAGGGGACAGAGGACAGCTGTGGGATGTCTGTCAGCCGGTCCCCCAGTGACCTACAGGAAGGGCTTCACAGCGTCCCCCTGCACAATCTGCACTAATGGCGGCTTATTGAAAGAGGCCAGCTTTCCAATGACCGGGTAATTAAATCAGCCTCGGTTATGGTTGTGACCTCTGTGGCATAAGCCTGTTACATGAGGGGCATTCATCTTGTAAGGAGCCTTCCTCTGAACAACAGGGGCTTGCTTTTCCCAAGCAGGCGGGTTACCAAGTTCATCACTGTGCTTCACCCACTCTCCTATTTCCTAGTATCAGCCTAGACCTCCAGTTCATGGCTCTGAACCTGCTCCCGGCACTCTGTCGTATGACCCTGGGTGCGGATTGGCTCCTGTGGTTCTGCCCCCAGCCAATCACACAATTAGCATTTACAGAGCTCCGGCCTTAACAGCTGCTCCTGTGACGGCACCTGATTCCCGGCCTTACCGCGGGTGTCTGACTGCTCGCCGCACTTCGCATACGTGGCCGATTTCTGCCGGCTGAAGTGCAGGATCTCGATGGCGTTGGACATCCAAAACAGGAGAGGCTGCAGGCAGGGAACAAGGTCTGAGAGGCCGGCGGGAAGCTCCTGGCTGGGAGACGGGAGGAAGCACCAGGATGGGGATTCTAATTATATTCTAATACTCTAATTATTATTGTTGTTGTTAACTATTAGCATTATTACAGAAGCTAGTGTATTAGTTAAGGTTAAGGTTCAAGTCTCAGGAATACCCTGCTATTGGATCTTTGAAAAAAGTGCTTATACTGCTTAAGTAAAATATCCAGGCTGTACATGGAAGCAGATGAACTAAGTCGCTTAGCAGCTACGCAGCTGCTGGTGATGCTGTCTGCCCTCCACTACCGAGGACGCTCAAGCCGAAAGTGAGCCTTAACACTGCAAATAGCAGGCATTCCCTGTATCCCTTGGTTCCAAGCGCAGGGAAATAAGCACGTGCTTGACTAGCAGGACCAGACAGCCGGTGCTGGAGGTGTGCCTTATAGTCCTGTGGGGGCAGCGTTCCTGCTGGAGGAAGGCCGGCCTGGATACTTACTGCTGAGGTGGCCTCCCTGACAGCTCCCTCGTCTTCTCCTGCGAGACACACATAAATGTTACCAATCCATAAAAGTCACGCGCCAAAGGAAAACTAACCCCGGCAGGCCGCCTCGGGCCACATCCGTCACTGCGTCTCGCCTGAAGGAGAAAGCGGAATGATTAAGTGATGGATTTCCGATAGAGGACAACCAGGAACGACCCCTGATATTCTGTGACAACGGAGTCCTCAAACCTCTGGGTAGCTGGTGTGAAGACACGCACGGTTTGGTCCCCTTTCAGAGGATAAAATGGGGGGGGGGGGTCATTCTTCAAATAAGACACCTACAGAACAAACCATAAGTAGCAGTCACTGTTTGTGTATTTAACCAGGACGGTCTCTACAATAAGAGCAATTTCTGTAGCTGCTTCTTTAAGCAGGAAATGAAGTATGTCAGAGTGAAAATCCTTTGATGTGGTCTGTTTTTCAATTGCTCAATTCAAGTAACATATTTATTTCCTTACTATCCTTTTTCTGGATTTTCTGTTTGTGTACTTTTAAAATTTTGTTTGCACTATGTGTCTTTGTTTTGCACAGTATGTTTGTCTCAATGTTATATACCTGCTGCTGTATGCACACGAACCTCCCCCTGAAATCAGTAAAGCTTCTCTTATCTTATATCTCAAGTCAAGCTCATTGATTGAAGACACAAGAGGACCACAGCACCTGGAACCCAAACTTTAGAGCTACCAGTTCAGCTGAGTGCTTCTGGCATAGCAAGCCTGGCTTTTAGGTACAGCAAGCCGGGCTTCCGGTACAGTGAGCCAGACTTCAAGGTACAGAGAGCCGAGCTTCTGGGTGCCAGTGAGTCGGGCTTTTGGGTACAATGAGCCGGACTTCCAGGTACTGCGACCCAGGCTTCTGGTTACCAGTGAGTCAGGTTTTTGGGTACAGTGAGCCGGACTTCCAGGTACTGCGAGCCGAGCTTCTGGGTACCAGTGAGTCGAGCTTTTGGGTACAATGAGACGGGCTTCTGGGTACCAATGAGTCAGGCTTTTGGGTACAGTGAGCCGGACTTCCAGGTACTGCGAGCCGAGCTTCTGGGTACCAGTGAGTCGNAGACGGGCTTCTGGGTACCAATGAGTCAGGCTTTTGGGTACAGTGAGCCGGACTTCCAGGTACTGCGAGCCGAGCTTCTGGGTACCAGTGAGTCGGGCTTTTGGGTACAGTGAGCCGGACTTCCAGGTACCGCAAGCCAGGCTTTCGGGTACAGGGAGTCAAGCTTTCGGGTGTAGCGAGCTGGGCTTTCAGGTACAGCAAGTTGGGCTTTTGGTAAAGCGAGCAGGGCTTTTGGTTACAGCGAGCTGGGCTTTCGGGTACAGCGAGCCGGACTTCCAGGTACAGCGAGTCAGACTTTTGGTACAGCGAGCCAGGCTTTCGGGTCCAGCGAGCCGGGCTTTCAGGTACTGCAAGTCGGGCTTTTGGTAAAGCGAGCAGGGTTTTTGGGTACAGCGAGCTGGACTTCCAGGTACAGCAAGACAGGCTTTTGGTACAGCAAACCGGGCTTTCAGGTACAGCGAGTCGGGCTATCGGGTACAGCTAGCCGGGCTTTCGGGTACAGTGAGCTGGGCTTTCGGGTACAACGAACCATGCTTTCAGGTACAGCGAGCCGGGCTTTCGGGTACAGCAAGCCCAGCTTTTGGGTACCAGCCCACTTCCCAGGTCTGAGGGGGCAGAAATAGGCCCAGCTCCAGCTGCTACATGATGTGAGGTAGGACACGCTGTCACCATCTTCACACGCATGCAGTTTGGGACCCAGGACGGCTGCCAAGTGCTTCACCTAGATACGCAGGACAAAATTATTTCCAAAAAAAGTCTTCTGAACTACAGCGTAGCACCCCCTGGGGACCAGAGCATGTAAGCGGAGTGGAGCGGTGAGAATTTCCGCTCCTCGCTCACTAGGCTGTCGGCTCCGCCCGCTCCTCCGCTCTAATTCGCACTACGCCGCTCCGCTCAACACCGCTCCTCGCGCCACTAAAATTTCCTCCCACTCCAGTGAAATCGCTCCACGCTCGCTCCAATTTAAAAAAGGGACAAATAATCTGCATGCCTAACAAATGTCACCTTAAACCGAAGCCTTATATCATAAACAAATATGAACAACGGCAACATTGCCGCTCAGAAAATATTTATTTTTAAGCAACATATATAGGCAACAACAGACACGTTTGGCAATGGCATTCCACACAAAAATAGGCTTAAAAATAAAGGAATCAATGGTCTTAATAGTCTAAAGAATATACAGGCTAAGCATCTACGTTTTAAATTCCTCAATTTTTTCTGTTGATGCTGCTGCTGCATCTCTATAAAATAAAATTTCACTGACAGTGTTACGTGAAATTTAAAAAATCTTATTAGACCTACTTTGAATGACAAAACGAATTTATTTGATTACCAATATTTACCAATATAGGCTTTTATACTTTAATTTATAGACTTGATATACTACAACCATATAAAACTTGCTCACGTTTTGCTCTGGCTTCCATCTGTTAGCATAAAACACTCTCGTGTTTCTGAGAAAAATGATTCCAAAGTGAATCTTTACTCACTGAAACAGTTTCACCACCTTGTTATTCTTGCTCTACATTATTGTCATCTATACGTTTGATAAGAATATTACACTTGTATGATCTATCAGTTTCCTTTGTGAAATACTTTGCGAATTCCATCTCGGCCAATTTTTGTAATAGTCTTGATAATTATACAGATGAATTCTGGGTAGATTTGGGCACGCCTCAGAATCGTAGTGTGAGCGGTATCGGAGCGAAATTGGAGCTAGACAGAGCGACCGCTCTTGCCTTAATTAAAAAACCGCTCCGCGCTCTGACTAAATTCCGACCGCTCTGCTCCTCGCTCACGCTCCGCTCACATGCTCTGCTGGGGACAGGGCCTGCTGTTCGATCCCTGTTCCTTCCAGCAACTGCTGCTCTCACCTCTTGACATACCAAAACAGCTTTGTGACCCTGACAGCTTGGTATTCCCCTCCAAAACACGGCCCGTGGAGCAGATTCAGGGCCTAGATCTCGTGAAGTTACTGTCAGGCACCGTGCAGTATACAGCGAACATTAATCTTGTCCAATGAATCACCACACACATGCAGCATGTCTAATTATATATCAGTGATTTAAAAACCAGCGGTAATTAGAAATAAAATGAAATGATTAGTAACCATAAAAGAATAAGTAAAGAAAATGCCCTCACTGATGTGTTAACGACACTAACCTGAACAACGTCCTGTATCCTTTTAGCAATCTTTAGCAGAAGCTTCCCAAAGCTTCCGGGGTCAAAGGTCATGGCGGAGTGCTCCAAGCACATGCACAGCAGGTAGGCGGGAGTCAGCTTGTGCTCGTCGCCCCCCGGCTCCGTAAGTGAGATGATCCTCCCCAACAGCCTGTCCTCCTGACCCTTCTCGAAAGCCAAAAGGACCCGTCGGCGCTGGGGGTCGCGACCTGGGGCCGGGTCGGGCTCGGAGGCGTGCCGGCCCCGCACAGAAGGCCGGCTCCTGGAGGGGGCCCCGCAGACTCGACAGGCGGCACCCTCTGGCTCAGGGGGGGGGCGCCGGGGGCGTAGGCCGAGCAGCGTCCGGGTGGGCAACATGCCCCCACCAACTGGGTCCTTACACAGGAAGATGTAGTGCGAGCCAAAGGACAGCAGGTCGCCATGCTGGAGCGCCGTGGACTTCTCCACCGCCGTGAAATTGACCAGGACTGCGGCGTGTGGGGCCGGCTCCAGAACCAGGCAGTGGCCCGACTGAGCCCTCCGGATGGTGCAGTGCAGTGGCAGGATGTCGGTGGACAGCAGGCAGATGTTGGGCCGGGCCGAGGCCGTCTCCTGGCCCACCGTGTGCTGGTCCCGGTTAAGCAGGTACACCAGGCGGTCCTGTCAGTGAACCAGGCGTCAGTGTGGCATCTCTAACACACCTTATGAAGTGATGACTCCATAGAATAACCGCATTCATCAGCCGGAAAGTGCTCAGGCCACATGCCGATGGCCGGATGACACTGCAGACAGACTGTTGTTCTGACTTTGCAGACTGCCGTCCTTTTCCCAAAGCCCCCCCTCCACCCTCCCCCGGGGGGGCGCTGCCTCGCCACAGATGGACAGGCACTTTGACATGAAAATGTCTGTCTCAGCTAAATCTCTCGTAGCTAAATTGTTATATCTGCTCGAAAAATGACTTCTACACATTACAGTTTATACCACTGGATATTTACTGCACAGGTCTTGAACCCTAACCCCACCTGGTTTAAATGTGAAGCCCTTTGGTCACAAATCCAGCACTCAGTTTTTCGGACGGCCAAGAACTGTCCATGTGTACCTAAAATATCTGCCATGTGACAGCTTAATGCGTCATTCCTGTCATTACCAGCAGAGGAAGAGCTGACGCATGAGCTGAATCTCCCCTAAACTGTGTATAAAGCATAGTGTAAAAAAAATGCCACTGAACGAGATTTTTGTCCACGACAGTCGGCCATTTTTCATCCTTAAGTCCACTCTGCCTCTGCTGTACCTTTAAAACAAGCATTAGTCAAAAGCAGGCAGAAGGCTTCTAGTAAAACTTATGGACTATGAAAAATGACTTCTGGTGGTGTGTGGCTCGGCCAGTTAGACTGCTGTGTCCATGATCGGAAGGCTGTCAGTTCAAAACACTTGGCTGATTGATATCACCGTTTGGCCATTGAGAAAGGACCTTAACCTCAGCTGCTTTGGATCTAAGAGTCCGCTGAATGAATGTGCTGTAGAACAGCTCACCTTTGTGAGGTTCTCCATACCTGCCGGCTGTAGCCCTGGAGCAGCAGGAGGTGTGGGGACTGATAGAGGGAGAGGCGCACCTCTCCATCGTCCCTTTTCTGCGGTGCCTCCTTCAGGGGCCTGGGCAGCGTGAGGCAGCTCCTCCTGGCCTCCCCCCCGGAGCCACCCGTCACGTCCAGGCTGGTCTCGCTCAGGCTGCGGCCCAGGCCGGGCGTGCCCTTGGCCCGCGTCCGCTGGAGACGCCGGGCCTGGGCGTTGATGCCTGGGGTTCAGTAGGAGACAATAGAAAGAGGGGGGAGGGGACAGGGGGAGAGAGAGAAAAAGAGGGGCAGAAAGAGAGAGAGAGAGATTGGGCGAGAGAGCAGTGACCTCATAAACAGGAGCGATGACGGTGTGATACAGATACACTTCTGACCACAAGTACAGAGCTTAATTATTAGTCTTCGCTGATTGGAGTCAAGGACAGAGTTTGGTGGAGAGAGGGGTCAAGGTTGAGAGATTCACTCAGGCAGACCGCAAATGGGACAAGTTGAGGGAGAGTGGGGGATATGGGGGGCGTATTCATAGTGAGAGACAGAGAGCGCCTGGGTGGACTGAATCAGCACTGATGGTCACCTGAAATGGCCATGCAACTTACAAACATCAATCAGAATATGATCATAATCAATGCTTACTTACACTAGATGACACTGGGAAGGTAGTCAGCAAGCGGGAAAAAGAAATACAGCCCCATGTGATCCCTCGGTCCATGCTCGTTAGGGTGATGATCTCAGCGTTGACAGAAATTAGGCCCTCAGCAGAAATCAGCCTTTGTTTAACAAACACTGTCAGATTTATGCCTGAGCCCACCCCCAGAGGGCAGCACCTCGGGTTATGTGGTGCCAGAAACAGGCAGATTTCACCCCAAACTCACGGCTTCTTAAAGTCTCTCCTCTGGCCAGAACTTTGCCTACAGTAGCACCTCATCAGAAGGACGATGTGCAGAATGCATGGCCTGTAATCCCATTTCAGCTGCACTGTGGCCCAAAATCCCAGCCAGTCCCAGCAAGAGCAATTCTCCCTGCATCCAGGCACCCTGATAAAGCTACCAGCTGCTCTAAGCAGAGTCCTGCACCAGAACCATGCCGGGTGAGAAGCTGCTGTTTAACCATCTCACCCTCAAGGGGAATCAGACTGGCATTAACAGCACAACAGTTTAGCACTGGGCTACTCAGCTCATCAGCACTTCCAGACTCTCTTTAATTCCCACGGGCTGCCTCACACACCCAGGGGGGGCATTGGTTGGCCAGCCACTTTGGTGATACTTTTGAAATCACTTCCCAGAGCCACATGTACCTGTTATTTAGCTGTTAGCTAATTGTGTGGTAACTTATCTATGAAAGACAGGGACAAACGGGGGTGGTTTAGAAGACCTGCGGTGATGGTGTCCTGCTCCCTGGAGCTCAGCTCCTCCACGTTGGCCCTGCGGCGGAGCTCCAGGCGCCTGGCCAGTCCCTCCTTGGGCCTCCAGAGGTCCTGCAGCAGCAACGGGCGTTCATCATCTCGCAGGACGCGCACACCCTCTGTCCTCCAGCGGCCGGCCGGGCCGCTCAGCTCGCCGACCACGTCACACAGCACATAGTCCCCGTCGGGGGCCCCAGCCAGCGCGTAGCGCTGGAGCGCCTCACGCACCAGCTCGCGGGCGCTGGAGGATGGCGTGGCCAGCACGCTCTTGTAGTGGGCCCCGGCGCAGATGGCATCACCGAAAATGCGCAGCACTCCGGGGGCTGATGTCTGGATGGAGAGCTCAGCAGCCTCGCCGGGGCATTCTGGAGGGGTCGCCGCCGGGGGGCGCCGTTCCTTCTGACTGAGGGTGCGACACAGGACCTGCGTCAGGACTCGGCCAGACCGCCGTGGCTGGGCTTTCAGGGGCAGAGCCATGGCGACGGGTCGGCTGTGGAGCATGGCTGGGAGGGGGGGTCGGTCTCGGTCACCGTCTGGGGGGGGAGGGGAATGGGGAGGAAATTGACCCCTAACTAGGAAATTGCACAAAGTGGATGGCCAGGATGTTGGGTAGTCAGGATCAGAGGTGGGTACTTCGGGTCCAGAGACAGTCCAGACCAAAACTTTGTTTCTACCATGCAGTTGACTCTATGACTCTTCAAACTCAGCTGGTTTGTGGAAACAACATCTTGGTCTAGACTTTAGCTCTCTGGGCCTGAGTTACCCACTTCTGGTCAAGTCACCTATATTAGAACCCCCTTTATCTCATTATCACCACCCCCCAAGTATCACATGACCCAGATTACCCATGAGGGCTTGACCTTTTATCATCACATGACCTTGATTATGCTCTGAAAATGGCTGCGGTGTTATTGTGTCCAGGCCCCATAGAGTGGGATGGGCCTGCAGTGCACCGGGGCTGGTTATCTCAGCAGAATGAAAAGGTGGCTCTAAAGAAACAACCGAATGACATTAATGAATCAAACAAATAAACGAGCCTGGACGAGGAGGGCCAAGATAAGGGCAGGACCGGCAAAAATTAATCACTCGTCAGTCATACACGTGCCTTTAAGTAGAGGAAGATTTATCGTCCTGCTGCAGGGTGAAGGGGTCCGAACAGGAAGGGACGGCAGAAATGGCCAACGCTGCACTCCAGTTTACGAGGCACAGAGACGGCCAACGGGAGCCATTCATCTGCCCTAATGAAACAGCCCATAATCCCTGCTTTTCCTATCAAGGAACCTATTCAGCGCTCAGTGCTCCAGTAAGGAGCAGAATAGCGGACACTGTGTGACACGCAAACACTGGGGGGGCAGTGGATGTGGCTCAGTGTCAGGGGCAAAGGTACCACTATCATTGTCATTTGTCTCTAAGATGGACACGGCAAGCACACTTGGTCTCACCTATTCTCTTCACCAAAGAGAAAAACATTAATGGGAACAGTTTGGTCAGGAGGGAAATGGATCAGCATTGCAGGGGTTATAGTAATTAAAATGTATATGATAATCTTTACGGAGGTTTGGATATTCAAGTAAATATTAATTGAATTGATTTTGACATAGTAATAATTTGACTTCATTACAGATAAATTCTACTAAACTCCACAACTCCACTAAAGTTATCCAAGATACATGACACATTCAGTCATAAATTCGCGAATGGGTTACAAGTTTTATAGATAAAGACATGTACGTTGCATTACGCGTAAGACAGTATAACCGCGAGATGCCCCCAGAGATCGTACTTAATAGCAAGTTCAATGATTCTGAAATAAAAAAAATCCTGCAGAAAACGTACCGCAAACTGCGCAGCACGTTATTAATTTCAGCTGCTCCAGCCAACTCCGCTGTCCACCTGCTACACACATCCGAACCCGCCTACAAAATTCACCTGTGCATTGCACTGCACTTAACTTAAAACATCTTCTTATGCAATTATTCCCTCAAAACCAATTTTTACATTATTCATAAACAATTCGTAATATTACGGTACCTCAGCTGAAACTTCCAGCATTTTCAAAATTTATTCTAAAAGTTTTAAATATAATCGCACACATACTTTTGATTTCAATAAATGTATGGTTTTCATTCATATGTTGTCAGAGGATCCACTTATATTTATTACCATATGAATACAATATAAATACTCACCAGGTCTACAAAGGTCGTGGCAGTAATTAAACACTCTGTAAAAAAGCGATCTGCATCATCAATTTAACAAACTGTTTTTCAAGCCTGCCTCGGATCCTGCCGGACTCGGGCTTTAGCTACCGTACAGAACTTTCTGGCTTCGCTATCCCCAACACGCATCGCCGGCCGTGGTCCAGAGAGTACACCTTCATGCGCGGCTCCCGCATCTGCATTCCCTGCGACCGGAATTTGCCGAAGATGTACGAGCGCCGCTCGGTAACGGAGAGCCGAAACCAAGTGCATCTGGAGAGCCACCTGCTGGACATATGTATAGCGCAGCAATAACGCCGCAAGAGAGAGAAGGAAATAAACCCGTTTTCTCGTTTTATTTTAGTTTGCATGTGTAGTAATTGGAAGCTGTTTTTTTAGTGACGGCGAAAGGGCACCACCTTGGGTTATTACAGCATGTAACGCAGTATACCTTTGACCTTAAGCTCCACGTTAAAAACAGAGGAAATAAAACCTTAGCAGTAAACAGAAAACTGCCCCCCCATGAAATAGTGAATCTGCAGCGCAACATACTGTAAGTATCAGCTGACACGCATTTTCAGAAATGGTCGTCTCGAAGTTTTCTCGCAACATCCTTTTGAATCTGCTTTCCCTACCACTTGCTTAATTATTAGTAAATTTAGTGTACAGCACCAAATAATGCTGACAACATTTCTGGGTTATTAACAGCTAGGACGTACGACCAGTTAAACTAAGAGAAGGACTAAAAACTGCCACATCGTACGTCGACGACTGTCCGGCATACCGGAGATTCTCCCGGCGGCTCCATGGGTATATGGACCCGAACTAGTCTGTAAAGAAAAGTCGTTATAAAAGTAGAAGATATTGCGCCGGAGAAAACTGAACCAGAAGCCGTTTAAACCTATTAAGGTTTCGAAAGGGGTTTACTGGGACAGTACACAAAAGGTTTCGTCAAAAATGGTACGGTCCAGTCAGAATATAATTTCATATCCAAAAACATAATACAATAATACAATTAAAAATAAAGATCTTTATTACAGGTACACATACCAATACTTTATACTCCACATATTTCAATACACTTCAACGCCAAAATAATTCCTACAAGAAATTTTAATCCAGGGAATGTTTTTTTTTGACATTTCATGTTTATGTTTTATGACAAAGCAATTAAATCCATACAGTCTTTCAGAACCACAGCACCAGTCCTCAAACAAGCTCTGCAACTACAACACAATTTGGCACATTCATGACCAATTATGGACCATCTCCAGAAGAGGTACCCATACACCAGTGATCATACTGGTTTACACATTCTTAGGTCACCCTCTAATGTGGCCAATCCAGTCCATCCAAATGTATCCTCATAGACCCTGCTCTTTCTCTAATGAGAAATTGTCAGCTGATCCATATCTAACAGAGGCTGATAGCTCAGGTCTGGCAAGTAAAAATCCACACTAAGGTTTTGTTTCAACCAACCAGTTGAGCATAAAGAGTCAGAGTCACAGAATACTCAGCTGATTGGTTGAAACAAAAACTTGGTCTGGATTTTTGCTTTCTGTGCTTGAACTATCCACCTCTGGTATCCAATGTGGATTCAGTCATCGGAAGGGGTCGCGTTACAATTCACACATTTAAAAATAGCAAATACTAAGGGGACCCTTTGCTGTAATGTACATATCCACTGCTTACAGCAGAATAAACAGTCTGTCCATTTCAGGCAGGTGCAGCTCTGAGATCTGAAAAAAACCTGCCATTCACATCTCTTGGGCAGATACAGTACAGATCTTCAGCAAGTTTCCCATATCATGTGATTTAAGACATTGTGTAATAAAAAACTGCTACTGAACAAGATTCTTATCCATGTCAGTCGGTAGTGTCCTGCAGAAAGGCATTAAGTGCGTTTTCATCCTTTAGCTCACCCTGCTTGTGCTATATCTTAAAAAGCAGGCAGAACTACTGTGAGGCTTCAGGTAAAATGTATGGCCTAAGGAATGAATTGTCAGACTAATCCCTGCATTTACCTCAACAGATTCATAAGATTTTAAACACTGTTAATATATTGATGTTTTGTATTATAATATAAAAATTAGAGGAATGTAACAACAAACTAAAAAAAGCAACAAACCACAGCAAAGGAAAATGACCTACTCATAGTAGGAAAAATTACCCACAATGCAGTTAGGTATTACATCTCATCCTCAAGGACATTCATATTATGCCAACAGAACTGAAATGATGCATACATTTAGAGTAACACTGATTACTTGAAATGCTGAATAATTACCAGCTGTCAGGTGGTGCAGGTTATAGGCACTACACAGATTCAGTATAAACTTCTGTAAGATCCCCACTTTACTGTAACATGATATTTAAAAAGTCAAGTTGAATATGTTTAAGCTAGGAAAAACTGCCAGTGTGCATCTGCCAGTGTGCATGAGTTTCTTACAACTTAAATACTTCACTGTCAGAAAAATAGTTTCTGCTTTATTTTATGACTTTACTAAACTCACTTAAGAAGAGAGTTTAAGGCACAGATTCCACCACAGAAAATTTCATATTCACCACTGTCGAACATGAGTTAACTTATTCTGTCTTTTTTTTTCTGGGAAGCACATTGTGGGTGTTAAGCAAAGTGCCAGACAGACAGGAATGTTCACAATGCTCTCATATCACGAGCCTCATTCCGGAAGCCCACACAGTGGGATGGGAATGACTGTAAGTTTTCAAGGAACATCTGAAACAGACACAATTCCCAAAATAAGATTCTTGTCACTGAATGATTCACCTTATAAGTTTGTTTAGGCAGGGTTGCAGGTTTAGGGAGGGCCTGCTGGCTGGAATGAGATTTTCAATTCAAGACAAGTCTGCACACACATGCACACGCATTTACATGTATGTAAGAATTTTATTACCTTGTAAATAGTCTGTAGGGATTGCAAACTACCCCAATGCTTTTGATGTAGCTAAAATGAGGGTTATAATGGAATAACATAGATTTGCTGTAAGATTGTGAAAGTGTGAAAGTCTGAAAGCATGAGAGTCTGAAAGCGTGAGAGTCTGAAAGTATGAGTCTGAAAGTATGAGAGTCTGAAAGCGTGAGAGTCTGAAAGCATGAGAGTCTGAAAGCGTGAGAGTCTGAAAGCATGAGAGTCTGAAAGTGTGAGTGCCAAGCCAGATGTGTGACAGTTGGCAAACCTGGATTATGCCTCAATTCCCTTAATTATGGTTACATTTGTGTTTGTTTAGGCATCTTGCACAGAAAATAATGTTTAAGATAAACCATAAGAAACCTCCTCATTACAGTACACTGTTCATTATTTTTGAATCTCACTAGATGCCATGCTGTATAATTTGCAGTATTTGCAGACCATGTATAGTTCAGCCTCTCTAGGAATCTGCTATTTCATGCTGTCGCTTTAGCTGAGTGCGCTAACCAGTGTTTAGGAAGCTACTTGAAGTGTCCCAAAGCCAAACTATATCTGGATCCCTTCACAATTACATGACCTAAAAACAAGCCTTTAATAAACTGGTCCCCCCCAAGGCGGGCAGCCTGCACTAAAATCTGCTTGGCATCAGGACAGCCTGCCAGCCAATGAGAGCTCAGTGGACTGGCATCAGAGAGGCAGGGGGCACGAATAAATAAATAAATAAATAAATACACCACACTTCCCTGTCCAGGTCTCTGCCTACAGGTGAACTGGAAGATGCCCTTTGTTTGTGTTATGGTATGCCCCCCCCCCCCCTCTTGGGGGCTTCTTAAGAAGGCTTAAGAGGCTATTAGTGAGTTCAACAAATAAGGACAACACTGGTGTCCAGGCGCATCTCGCATTACTCAAAGTGATCCGTGGACACCTTATATGTAAACACGGTCTGCTGAGGATACTAATGAGCAATGAGGAGAATGTGGCATCTGTCGGCCCGGTTCTCCATTACAGTTCTGTTCTGGATTGTTTTGGACATCGATCTTAAATAATGACAACATAGCAACCATCCATCCTTCCACCTTCTAAAGTCACATATCTTATACAAGGTCAAAGTGCATTTGTAGCCTATTCTAGGAAGCAAAGGGTGTGAGACAAGAGGCCACCTGGATAGGAGGCCAGTCTGGTGCCAGGTATCCACTCACCATCATGCACTCTGGGCATTACAGAGTCTCCAGCTCTCCTAGCTGCATGTTTTTGGACTCAAAAGGCAAAGCTACAGTACTAGACTAAGACTAAGACTTATGTTGACCAAAAGGTCATTTAGATGCTACATCTGTCACAGGAACCTGGTTACTGCCTCTCATTAAGCTGTCGGACTTGGTCACACCAGCAGTTAGTCGCAGGTCTCCAGGGAGATTTTGTGGGCAAGTTGTGCAGTCGTGTCATCTTGAGGTCTTCATCTGCCCATTTCCAGGCACATACAGGTACCTCCATATAGCGTAATAGTGAGCGCTGGCTCCCAGCACCACGAACAGGTGCCAGATGGCGTGCGCAAAGGGGACGAGCCCGTCGCTCTTGAAGAACACGATACCCATGCAGTAGGCCACGCCCCCTAGGAGCAGCTCAAAGACGCCACCCCTGTCAGTCTGCAACAATAGAGTGAGTCTTGTTATTTCTCACAATCTTCATCTCTGAATCCTTCATTTCCACATTTGCTTGCTTTTTGGGTAGTAATGCTGTGTGTAGGGAACCATTCTCAAATTTTTTTGACAAATGTTTTCCAGGAGAAAATACTTACCATAACTTGATAATACCTATCATAAGGAAATGATAAAACTATCTATTTATTAATGTACTATTTGCCATTCTGTATTCTGTTCATGCCCATGTATTAGGAAACTCATTGTTGGATTATTTTTTAATGTTGTATTTATTCTACTCTACTGTCTTTTTTAGCACTTTTACTATGTGTGATTCTTGCAGTAAGAGACTCTATTATCTCATTTCATTGTGTATATTTACAATGACAATAAAGATGACTTTGAGCTTGAAGTATAATGAATTGATCACCTCGTAGTAGAATGAATAGAGGATCAATGTCAAGATGTCACAACCACCTGGACCACCAAATCACCCTGGTGAAGTCAGTAATTTATCCTCATTCATTTTATTAAATTCTTCATAGTTGAGTGCCATTCAGCAAGTGCCCATTACAGACAACAGAGTTTCAGAACTATTTCCTGCGGATGTGAAATTTAAAGAAGTCTGGTACCCCTATGAAGTAAAGCAGTTGAAGATTGCTGGGATTGCTGTCCAGGCCCTAGGCCTTGTGGGATTGCGGTCAATGCCCTAGGCCTTGTGGGATTGCTGTCAATGCCCTAGGCCTTGTGGGATTGCGGTCAATGCACTAGGCCACGTGGGATTGCTGTCAATGCCGTAGGTCTTGTGGGATTGCTGTCAATGCACTAGGCCACGTGGGATTGCTGTCAATGCCGTAGGTCTTGTGGGATTGCTGTCAATGCACTAGGCCATGTGGGATTGCTGTCAATGCCCTAGGCCATGTGGGATTGCTGTCAATGCACTAGGCCTTGTGGGATTGCTGTCAATGCACTAGGCCTTTCGGGATTGCTGTCAATGCCCTAGGCCTTGTGGGATTGCTGTCAATGCCCTAGGCCATGTGGGATTGCTGTCAATGCACTAGGCCTTGTGGGATTGCTGTCAATGCCTTAGGCCTTCTCCACTGTGAATGTGACTATGTACTGCATATATCTGTTGCACAGCTAGTTTTGAGGACTGCAGATAAGAGACTAACCTATCCTGGTGTGCTCGCACGACCTTGGGTCACTCTCTCGGCTGGGAGGGCAACGCAGCCCCTAGTCGGTGTAGCTGTAAGAGTAACTATTGCTTTGCTGGATTAGAGAACATGCGTAGATATGTGTAGATATAATATATCTATTCTTAGTGGTAATGAATAACAGAATCAGTGTCGAGTAAGACCATATAGTCTATATAGTCTTAAAACTGACAAAGAAATGCATTGCATAACATTATATCCTGTAAGAAAATGTTGTTGTACCCTGAGTAAGTGTTTGTAGGGTGTCAGAAATAATAAACACAGCAGTCTTTGCATAAGATAAGGGTAAATGGGGGGTGAGTGGCCTTGGACGATTGCAGGCCAGAGATGAGCTAACAGGAAGCCATACGGAACATCTTGTGATCTTGTGCAGGGTCATCACTCGCAGAAAAGGTATAAAATATAAAAATCCCTGTTCGAACAGAAGCTATAAACAGGTAGCGTCTCCTACCCTAAGGTGTCTGCATTTTATTTATGTCCATCTGAAATTTGTAACTTCCACATTTCCCTGTCAGTTACCGTTAAAACGTGCCACTAAAGAAAAATTAACTTACCATTGACAGGATCACCAAGGCAGGACAGAACCCCATAACTGTGTAACATAGCAACTCTATAATCTTGAACCTGTGGGATGACAGACATATCAATAATGTGCTGATTTAATACCTCCCCTCACCTCCACTGGATTCCACCCTTGTGAACTTTCTGGGCCAATCAGGACGCCTGTCACAAAATTTAATCACTTTGCCTGCAAACCGAATCTTTGATTCAAGAACACAATGCTGATGTTGGCGGGTGGGAAAAGTGGGGCACTTGTGGGTCATTCTTGGACACGTACCGCTCATGGAAGAAGAAGACGTAGGCCGTGCCGATGCACGCCATGACCCATATGACCCAGCGCATGTGAGAGCCCCAAGGACCCAGGTCTCTCAAGTTCAGCCTGTGGGAGCGAATAGGAGGCCCCGTTACATTCCACCCAAACGCTCATCATTTCTGCCCGTCTCTGTGTTAAACCCATATAACATGAACGAAAGCCAAAAGATCCACCAACTATCCAGTACCGGTCATGTAGAGCCAGAAGCGTCGAGGTAAATTATTTGATATTTAATATTTTTAATCTGCCTTGCGCCGTAGCCTCTGGGATAGGCTCCAGATCCCTTCGACCCTGAACAGGACAAGCAGTCACACATGACAGATGGATGGATGTGTTTAATGTTTCCTTTTTTACTTCTAACACTAAATTGAACCATTCCAGAGGCAGGCAATTCTTTCTGTAAATTTTACACTATTACACAATATTACAGTGTGATAGCTCACATATTTTGTTGTACATGTCCTTTCATTAGGCAGCTGAGAGGTGTGTAAATGTAGGAGGAGTTTGTGCGATATGCGCGATGACAGCAGCAAAGGGACACCGTATATGTGACTCGTGCTAACTTCCTGCAGTACGGCACCACTGGGAATTCCGGGATCGCAGCCTGTCACCTCCAGGAAGGTCACCCTGGCAGAACACGATGCTCCACAAACCAGGAACATCTAACGAGTGACTGATGCTGCTGCATGTATGGCGAGTCCAGCTGGGCTTTCGCGGACCAGGGGGAGCTAAATCAGGAGGCCGTTTTTGGGGGGTGTCAGTGCTTCGGGGAGGGACTGCCTGACCCACCAGTGTGAAGCCATACAGTATCTGCTTGGTGCAGTGACCCGACCTCATCATAGGCGTGTTGCCATGAGAACCATCAAACCCCATCACAGGTGTGTTGCCATGGGAACCACCAAAGGGCAGTTTACATATTTACACAACATGACCGGCTCTGTGCGTGTGAAGGGTGCATGTTCTCCCCGTGCATCCATGGGCCCCCTCTGGCTGCTCTGGCCTTCTGCTGCACCAACAAAAGCCTACGATCAGGCTAATTGGTGTCTTTAAATTACCCTTAGTGTGCAAGTGTGTGCTCTGCCATGGACTGGCGCCCCATCCAAGGTGACCACTGCGTCTTATTTCCCCCTCCCTCCCCTCTCTATGTCTTTGGTTACACATGTATTATAATGTGTGATTGTATGTGTGATTATTTGAGCCTCGCCACCAGCATTTCATTGGACGGTTGTGATGGGGTGAAGCAGAAGGAGAATTTCCCCACAGGGGTTAATAAAGCAGCACCATTCTATACCAAGGACCTGGACTCCAGGCTCAGTGCTGAACATTTGGCTAGAAGTTAAAGACATGGAGGTAGATGAGCTGCTGATTTAGTATGTCAGCACCCATTTTAACCCTCACGAGAAACATGTATTAAAATGTTTCATGTTTTTATTTTCCTAGATGTGAAGGGTTTGTATTAGTTATCTTTTGTTTTGGAAAAACCTGGGAGTCCATTATGTATTCTACTTCACTCTCAGTGGGGGGCAGTAGTGATAATGGAGGAGATAAAGCAGAGGGGTAATTTGAATGGAAAATCATTTGGACAGAAAAGAGGGCAGAAATGCAGACAGCTTGGGGCATCCTGAGACCTGTGCTGTCAGGTCAGGGCGCATTTACAGTTACGACTCACCAGGGGGCGTAGGAAGCTGCGATGAAGAAGTAGATCACCATCCTGTCGCACATGTGCAGGCAGTGCTCCACAGTCCTGTCACATAAAAGGGGGTGGGCTCACACCAAAACTCTGACTGCAGGGGGATGTGCCCCCCCAACCTCTATGTGTGAACAGCAAACTGACGCCATGGAGCCATAGAACCTGCAGAATTCCTACATGTTACTCTGCCAAAAAAAGAGCCTTAACTTACTGTATTTAATCAACTAATAATCATTCAGAATAACAGAAAGAGCTGTATGTAGGCATGATGTATCAAATAACTCACGTAAACCTTGTCACTGATTTTTTTTTCCCAGCATGCATCAGCTCTACTGGCATGTCAGAACAGTTTGGGATCTGGGGGCAGGTTCAGCAGAAGGTAGGAGAAATAAAATGTGATGCAGCAAGTCCAGGCGAGTAACTGTTACTATCGGACGGGCAAGCAAACTGTTTAAAAGAATGGCATTGGGCGGTTTGTGGTTCAGGCAGCGGCCAGGCCAGTTACTCCACACGGAGCAGAGCATGCATCACTGAAGGAGGGTTACAGCCTGAAATCTGCCTGAAGAGAGACGGACCTGCCAACTGTCAGCATGCAGCCATGTGCGGTACTGTGGCGAAAAGCAGAAAAGCACTGTGGTACAAACAAAGAACATCAAAAGTGTCCACACCCCTGTTAAAATGCAGGTTTTTGTGACGTAAAAAAATTAGACCATGATGAATCATTTCAAAACTTTTCCTATCCATAATGTGACCTATAACCTGTACAATTCAATTGAAAGACAAACAAATTTGTTAGGGGGAAAAAATACAAAAATAAAAACATACAATAAGCTGGTTGCATAAGTGTGCACATCCGTAAACTACTACTTTGTTGAAGCACCTTTTAATTTAATTACAGCATTCAGTCTTTCTGGGTAGGAGTCCTTCAGCATGTCACATTTTGACTTGGCAGTATTTGCCCACTCTTCCTTGGAAAGTGGCTCTAAATCTGTCAGATTACAAGAGCATCTCCTGTGCACAGCCCTCTTCAGGTCTCCTCACAGACTTTCAGTTGGATTTAGGTCTAGGCTCCAGCTGGGACATTCTAAAACTTAAAATTTTCTTCTGATGACGCCATTCTTTTGTTGATTTGGATGCTTGCTTGGGGTCATTGTCGTGCTGAAAGGTGAATTCCTCTTCATCTTCAGATTTCTAGCAGACACCTTAAGGTTATCGGGCCACAACCGACTGGTATTTGGAACTGTTCATAATTCCCTCCACCTTGACTAAAGCCCCAGTTCCAACTGATGAAAAACACCCAAGTCATGATGCTGACACCACCATGCTTCACCGTGGGTATGGTGTCCTTTCGGTGATGCGCAGTGCAGTTTTTGTGCATGTTTTTCTTTGTATGAATTGGCTTCCTTCATGCGATCCTACTCCAGACATACGGAGAATATGGAGATTGTTATAATACACAATCAGTACTTGCCAGAAATTCCTGCAGCTCCTTCAGTGCTGCTAGTATTAGTTTAAGGGAGTGCACACTTATGCATCCAGCTTATTGTACATTTTTTATTTTTTATATATTTTCCCTCAACAGATTGTTTTGATTGAATTGAATGGATTGAATTGTGCAGGCTACAGGTTACATTAAAGGTGGGAAAAGTTTTTAAATGATTCACCGTGGTCTCCTTTTTTACATCACAAAAACCTGGCATTTTTAACAAGTCTGTGTACACTTTATGTCCAGCTATTGTAGCTTTGTGCTACAAATACCTGCAAAATCCCATTGGGGAGTTTTTCCACATTAAAATGATCCCAAGAAATTAAGAGATCAAAGTACTGCCATTTACCGTGATTCAGAAGCTCCTGAGAGCTTTTCTGCCTCTCAAATGCAGCACCATTACAGCTTAGGGGGTTTTTCGGAAGCATAAATGAAATATTAACATCCCTGTAGTTTCCTATCCAATGCATTCATTTAATTCATCAGTATAAAGTGAGTTTGTTTCCAATCCGTGAATTTTTTGCCCCATTTAAAAACATAAACCATCTAATGCCAGTCCGCTTCTCAGCACAATCCCCTGTTTCATCCAGGGAGTTGGCAATGAGGGCATCTGTGTCAGGAGGCTCCGCCCACTTAGCGGACAGCACTGAATTCAGTGAGAATGTGATGTTCACAGGACCGGCCCAATAATGGAGGACACGCCTTTTGTACGAGCAGGTTACTGCCATGTTTGCCATCTAGCGGTTACCCTGAATGCCAGTAAAGGAAGATGGAAAGAGATACCCACAATCCTCTGGGATTGTAAGAGATTTCACATAGTATCCAAAAACGGGGTATAAATGTGAATATGCTGACCAACACTGGAGTATGAATGGAGGCCCTAGATAGAGGATAAGAATGACATGCAGACAAATATTTTGGATTACTTCTACTGTCCAGCATTATATTGTGGAAAAAATGTCTCTGAACTTTATAGAAGGTCACTCACATGTTTACCAAACAGTAAACATCCGCCCAGCAGCAGGAAGGCGCACGAGTGCTTATCCTGGTTAAATGTGCTGCTCTGCCCAGTTCAGGAATGACTGTAACTTAAGTGCATTGTGATGCTCTGTCTATACGGACAGATGCTAGGAAGTGGCTGAGTGGGTCTTCTCATGGCAAATCACGACACATTTAGGTCTGGGCGTCTGCCGGGGCGAGTAAGGGTACACCGGGCCGAATCCCAGATACTCATGGGAAGAGAATGTGTCCGATTTAATGTTCCGGTGGTGTGATGTGGGATCGAAGCCTGGCAGACGTGGTGCTGCGGTGGGCGGCCCTTCCATGTCTGCAGGGCACTTACCGGAAGTGGCTCATCTTCCAGGAGATGGTGTGGAACACGGTGGACACGGTGAAGAGGCCTGACAGCCCCAGGCCATAGATCCATGCGGTAACTGTCTCCCATTGGTTGTCAGAGAGGAAGTGCAAGAGGGAGCTGCCGAGGATGCTGGGAAGGATCCAGAGCTGCATAACAACGAGTCAGGGGAGGAGACTAAGCGTTAACCTGAACTGTATATGAACTGTACATGAGGCTGCCTGAACCTATGGGAACCTGAGCATCCCTCTAAACTGCCACCCACGCCTCACTCCGCCATGCTGCCCGGCGTCGACCAGAGGCAAAACCATGACTTCTGGCCAGACAGGAGGACTCAAGCTGTCCTCCCACATCCAGCAAAGGCATCCCTGCACTGGGGCAAGGGTCTCCAATCCATCTCATCTGGGAGAACTGCAGGCGGGTGTCTATGTATGATTATTAATATGCGTACTTCACTCTCACATATGTATTTAACGTCATCTTCCATTGCCGAAGACCAATTCCAATACTAAGAATAGAAGTACAGAGGATGTCATTACTGTCCTGCCCCAAATATCAAGGATACATCAGGTGAATCCTCACTAACGAGAACAATCCCATGATTCATTGTGTCCTAAGTTTGTTCTTGACAGGCAAATTAGCAAGACCACTCTGGCTAAGAACACAAGTAGGATCTTTCCATCCTTGCTATTGAGAAATTGTAGTGACACATCCACTAGTCATGCTTCAAGTCACCTTTTGTGTGACCCCTGCCCCACCTCTATTCTGGGAATGACGTTCAGGGGATGCAGAGGGAGGAGCAGTGACAGAGCTGGGCAGCTGTGTGTGTCTTCCTGAGGAGGGCTAACGAACACCGAGAAGGGAGCAAAAGTCCTGTCCAACACACTAAGCACAGAGCACTGAGAGAAGTGGCTGTGAGTCTATTTTAGTAATAAAACAAATAGACAAACGTGAAATAGAATTCCTAACCCCACATCTGCTCTGCCAGTTCCCCCACCGCCAATCACCTGCACACAAACCCTCCACGGCAGCCCCTCCTTAACCCTCTCACCCCCCACCCCACTTCCTGTTGTTCTGCAGTACCTATGCATTTTGCGTGTGTCCACAGACCACCCCCCCCCCACCAATGCCAGTCCTTGGGTCCCACTTACCGCATGAGTGGCACAGTTGGCCGCGTGCTCATAATCCGTGGGTTGGTACCTTTTGTGGGGCGGCACTCGGCCATTCATGAATCTGAAAAAAACATACATGAGGAAAATATAAAAAGCTGTGTTGATGTCTAACCTGCTCTGTGAACAAATAGCTATACCGTCATTTATTATTGCATTATGTAAATGCATCTCTAAAATGACATCACCCTTCGCTTTGCCGTGTTTCCTAATTCTGTTTACATATTTTCTCCCTATATATCTGATAAGGAGTAAACGTGACCTGAGGACCAAACAACAGTGTAGGTCAAAGCCCATGTGGCCCCTTGGCGAGAAAACCACTCAACACGTAACCTAGTACTGCAAAGCGCATATGATCGTTATTTGAGACTCTTAGAGTTGGTGGGCAGAGCAACTCATCTCTGGCTAGGAAAGTCTCTCGGAATACTGTGTCTGCATAATGTGGCATGTAATCTCCCTTTATGGATATTTTGCACCAGGCTGCATCCAAGGGCACGTGATAGGTGTTAATCCAGGATTTCAGAGATGTTACACTTCAATGACTTTATAAAAACGTAATGATTTTTTGGATTTTTAATTGTGATCATGTAACCCAGGCCCCTATTTTCCATTATCTTTCCGCTGTTGCAATCATCACCTAACGCTGGCTAGAGTGCTGGGCAGCTGACAGGTCAATGCTTAGCCCTGATGTCACACGACATCATCATCTTGGAATTACTTTGTGTTTCAACTTCCTTATATGATTCCTGTTGTGTTAGAAAATGTTAGCGATCATTAGCATCTCACATTTAGCCCGGTCTTTGTCGGTTCCATTCACCAGCAGTGGCTCAAAATCTCTGCAGTAGCTTCTTCCGAGATACATGCAGATCAGCACACTTACTCATACCGCAGGACTGCCAGTTCATACACTTAGATGGACAGTTTAGTTTTGTTGCAGAATCAGACACGCAAACGTCTCCATCCTGCAGGTGACATTTAAATGGTTCCAGCTGCACTTTAGAGAAATATTTCCACTTAGAAGTTTTTAGAAACCTTTTAACCGCATGTATAATAAACAAACACACATACTTCATTCGGTTCATTTCAGCATCTCTAATTATGTCAACCCATAAATAATATCATTTCCTTTCTGGTTTTACAGACAACACAGTGGTGTCTCATGCAGTCAATTAAACAAATCAAAGGGTATATGATTGTTCAAAAAAGCAGTTAATCTAAGTGAGCTTTTTAACGTAGCTTCTAAGTAACTTAAGCAATCTATCATGTACATGAGACAATTAAATAATGAATCGAAGGAGTAAATACTATGTCAAAATATTTATATTCTATTCATTTCTCATTTGCACTATAACCAACCATTTACATGACATAGCACATGGCATGATTGGTTTTGACTGCGCACACACAAGCTTCAGTTAGCTGGCTAAAACCCTGCCCCACAGTTTTCAACTAATTGTTGAATAACCTAATAAAAAACGTGAATACTCCATTTAAAAAAACCTAACAATTAAATAGCAAAAACTAAGCATTAAACACTTTGCATCAGAATGTCAATATTTTATTGTCTAATAAAGTGCAACAAGCAATGCTTTCCAAATAAATTATAATAATCAGTTCCAGTTCAGGAACTTACTGCATTACTAAGTTACTAAGTTAGTTACCAAGGAACCGTACCATACAATGTCATGGCGCCTGGCACCAGCTGTCACTGCTGTCACCTAGTGCCAGGCTTTCCATTGATTTCCGGGGTGCAGAATGTCAGAAGATCAAAGTCAAAGTCAGCTTTATTGTCAATTCTGCCACATGTACAGAACACACAGAGAATTGAAATTACGTTACTCTCAAGCCCTTGGTAGATAACAGAAAACATTAATACAAAAAATAAAATTTAAAAAATACAAATATTTTTAAACTTTGTCACACAGTTTCTCTGACACCGGCTAGGTAATACTTTACGATACAGCTAGTAAGTTATTTTTAACTAGGTACTACTGAAGTACAGATCATGAACAAATATAGTTTGTGGTTAATTAATATATTAAGTAAGAGTTAGTTTGTGATTAATTAAGAGTATAGTCATGTATTATTCGTGCCCCCTCTAGTAAAGTGTTACCATAATGTATTATCATACTCAGCTGAGTATTGAGGAGGCTGACAGCTCAATTACCTGAACTTGATGTTAAAATTTGTAGGAAACCTGCTTTACGCTATCCATGTCTTCAGTTAGTTTTATTTATATACTGAATGCACTGTCACCCCCAGAAAGACACCAAACATACGCCTGCATAATAAATAATGTGATTGCAGTTATGTTCTTCTGACTGCTGCAGATGAAAGACTAATGCAGAGGGCATAATGGTCCCTCTTACTCTGGCATTTTATGCCCAGTGGGGGTGGGCAGTGCTGATGATAGCTGAGTGCCCCTCAATATGCATCATTACATCCCAGCTCTTCTTTGATCAAGTTGGCTAATCACGAGTGACAGGCATCTGCATCAGGTCTACCAGAGAACGTGATCATTCAGGCAGAGCAGCTGCCATCCCATGTTCAGAACAACAAGCCCCACCAGAACAAAACCACACCCACAGTGGTGTGCAGCCAATCAGAAACCTGTACACAGGATTTGGAAAGATCTGATGGTACACAAAGGGGCTCAACTATTACTGTAACTGTACCGTCCAAAGACCCACAGAAAAAGCATCAAGTAACCATCTTGATATTCTAAAAATTTCCAAACGTGCTTCATTTAGAAGAATTTGTCAAATGAAATGTAGCCAACTCCAATTATGGTGCTAAATTGTTAATTCATAAAATAAAAAAACTAAGGATAGACATTATTGGTAAAATGAATCACTGAGATGTTTGGCAAGCTGAATTCTCTGTGGACAGAATTGTAAACAAACACAATTATGAAGAAGTGACTATTAACGAATATTAGATGAGAATATCCAATGTGCTATTAATTAGTGCAATTTACCTGATACAACGGAAGCATTAATAAGAACAACATGTTTTTCATTTTCATCAAGGCTGAAGGGAAACGGAGGAGATGGAGGGTGACGGATGTGAATGGCCCATTTGTGCCGTCGCCCGCGTCTCAGAGAGAGTGCCCAGGGCGGTCGGGCGGAGCGAACAGGGACCGGGCTCCTGGCCGGGACTGCGGGCACATTCTCACCCTATTGTCAGACGGAGAGCCAGCGCCTCTTTGGTTACGGAAACATAAAGCCTCGCTTGTCTGGAGGGAAATCACGTCCAACCCGGTGCAGTCCCTTTCTGTTCCATTTTCAGTAAGAGAGGGCTTTTTTCCCTCCTTCCAGCTAACGATATTTCTTTAGGCCATTGTTTTGCTTGAATAATCTTTACCAACAGCCAGCACGCGTCCACAAATACCATATCATATTATATTAACATCTCATGATTTTCACAATAGTAGGCTTATGAAAAAAAAAATCTACTAAATTCTGGATAGAGGGAGGCCGTTAAAAGATTCTGGCAGTTAGAAATCCTGTTTTCAAAGGTTTTAAAGAACCAGGAACATACTTCCACCTGTTAATACCTGACCTTCCTTTCATTAACTGGCTCACTCACCTCAGCAGTGGTCAATGGGAGCAATGCGGGTTATGGCTCACAGACAAGGAAGAAGGAAGTAGCTGGTAAGTAAGAAATGAGCAGCTCATGGCTCTGTACCCTAATACTGCACTTTGGCAATTCCACATCCCGCTGCTCACCGCTGTTATGTAGCGGACAGTGAAAGAACAATACAGTACTTATACTCAGGATTAATAGTATTAAAACCTAAAGAATATACAGCACAGCCTTAAAGGAAAGTAAACAGGCCTGAAATTTTGGCATACATCGTTTTTTAAGGCTTTTAAATTCTTACAACAGCACAGAGTATACAGAAGAATGGGAAAATGACACCGGAGGGGAAATAATGTATTTATCCATTCTTCCATCCATCTTATCCACCCGCTTATCCTTGTCTGGGTCACTGGATGGACTGCAGCCTAAGAAAATTATGTGATTGAGGTATTAAATAAATTATCCTCTCAATTGCAAAACAAAAGCCGTCATAAAACTTGATATGTTAACCGGATTTTTTAAGGCTGTCAAATTACCGCAACATCATAAACGCCACGGAGTAAGTCTCAGCCATTACGCCCCTAAGAGTTATTACACTGTATGTGACATTAACAGATGCAAGCTGAAATGTACACCATATGTCATTATTACGCTATATAAACCACTCAGTTAATGACTGCTGACTTATAGGCTATGTAGCCGAGCTCTTGTTTCTTGTACCTCCGTCCAAGGGCATAACTTTGGGTTGAGCATTGGAAGGAGGTTCAGGTGTCCACCCATTTAAAGGGGTGCAGGGGGGAGGGTTACAACCCCACCAACCACCTTTAATTTACGCTCATGCCTCCATCCATTTTACTTTAAGTTGATAATGTGGCAGTTTGCTTTGGCCATTCACAGAACTACAAAAGTGAACAGGTGTTCTGTCATAAAATACTACCTATCGAAACGTGCTATAGTGCCTTTCTGCGCATGTGCAGTTCCACCGTTTTGGGATTAGGGTTAGGTTTCAGGGGTTACGGTTAGGGTTAAGGTAAGAGTTTTAGGGGTTTTAGGGGGTTAGGGTTAGGGTAAGAGTTAGGGTTAGGGTTAGGGCTATCGATTAGCATTACGGTAGCATTTTTCGACAAGGCAGCATATATCGACAGAACACCGGCATTGCGATATAGCGCCTTCACCCGATCATCACGTGCGATCTATCTCGGATCCTAGCAAGAGCAAGTATACTGACAGCGAAGGGACACATCCCTCATCCCAAAGGAATAATGTTTGCATAACAGAGTATTGTTCGACAAAGTCAGTTAAAAGAGGCGTTTTAATCTGCTTTATTCTTTTGTGTCTCGTGGAGATGATGCAGACACATGAAGGCTGCATTCCCGAAATATGTATTGTTTATCTGGACCTCTTTGCCCCCCTCCCACCCTGTCCTTGAGTACAAGTTCAACAGGCTGGAGAGTGCAAGCTAAGCCGGCATTGAGCGGGCTCGTTTCCGCTACGATATATTTCGCGAACATATCATTGTTCTTTTTTATTTATTGCAGTATTGTTTGTGGATACCCCCCCCCCCTTGTATTGCTGCATTATTGATTTATAACTTACTATTTGGATTTAACTCGGGCAGTTTTGGTGATCGACAGGGTAAACAAGTTAAGAGTTTTGCACATCTGCTTGCTGTAATTTACTATGTTCATCTTCCCAGATGTGTAGCTGTAGTTCTGGTTTAATTATTTTAACTTATCCTCTTCACCGATGATGTTAATTCAGTATTGTGTTAGTATAATGATACTTTGGATGGACACAGAAGGAAAATGTAAAAAAAAAAACCTGTCGCAACTTTAAAAAGACAACGAAAGATTTTTTTCATTTTCGATATTTATGAGCTAACCAGAGTATTTACCTACATTTTATACTCGAGTATACCACTTTTGATCTGTTGCTTGATTATACCTTCTCAAACAGTAGCCGTCGGTGGTTTTTTATAAATGCATTTATATTTTAACGACCAAACTTGTGTAACATCAGCGCGAAACTTTTAAACATACATTTCAAAAAGTAAAGACACAATTAAGATATTCACAAAAGATATTCATATAAAAATATTCACTTTACCTTCCATATCTAGTCTTCTTAAAATCCTGAAACATTTCAACAGAGTCAGCGTGTCCCTGCGATCACTTTGAACTCTACAGAAGCAGCAAGTTACTCTTTTCACCAATACTAATAAGTTACTGAAACTTCCGGCTCGGGTACCGTAAAAAGACGAAATATTGACGAATCTATAATTCCAAGCAGAGTATAGTGTAGCTGAACGATCACGAAGAGGCGAGACAATGCCGCCACAAATCCCCTCCCAAAGACAGAAGTTAAAAGAGGTCTTCAGGGGAAAGCTTTGGGACTGACAAAACTTTACCACACCACCATCTATCCACGCACACCACTGTTTGCAGATTAATACGAAAACATCGACATGCCAGAGTAAGCAGACATATAGCGGCTTTAAGTAATATTCGCGGCAATTTTATATAGGCCTTCATTTTTAACAAAAAATATGTCCTCGCAGAGACACTGTGAAAATATTGCATTGGATGATGACCCTGAAATGTTAAAATAATGTACGGATCTAAATCGATACAAAGGGAACTATTGATTTGAGACAGTTCTTTGCATTCTTAAGAAAAAGGGACAAAAATCCTCATTTTTTTAAAAAAGCACTGAATTTCGGTCAAAAGAGGAATTGCTTAAGACGGGTTCCGCTTTCGATTTGGGACCATGTTACAATTAAAACCGCTAGTGTCTCCAGATGTGGAAATAAATACGTTTAGCTTAATTTTTTGAGGAAGCTTTTTCTGTGTGTCTTAATTATGAAAAACAGCAGAAAGTAAACAGCAGTCGTAATAATGTATACAAGGTTGTATACGTACAGTATTTCGTCCTTTGCCAGCATCAGCCGTTTGTCGGACTCATTTATTTGCGGTAGACAGTACTGGCATGGCCATACATATTGGCCAATACCTGCGATAGTAGAAGACCTAATAATCACAGCATTATCATGTCATGATCGTATTAATTGTATTTATTGTTTGGAGTTATACAGAGGGGTGCGAAAGTATCGTATATTCACATTAGGTGAGAGCTGTTGGAATAATCACCAAAATGAACAGTGATCGTTTGCTTTGAAAATGTGAGAAAATCGACATTATCTAAAAAAAAAAAAATATGTATGAACTAGATCATGTTGTTCATCTTTTGTGTTACACTTAGCGATACCAAAAACGTGCAAAAGTGCGAACTGCTCGTGGTGCAAAAATGAAAGTCAGATTGTATGGCAGCCCAAATTGTCTTTTATTGGTGTAAGGTTTACTCGTCATAACTTAATTCTTACTAGTAAAAATACAACTTTTACTAGTAAGAATATTAATTCAAGATGTCTCCAATGCAATTCTCAATAGTAAGAATGATCATTTTTACTAGCAAGAAAGAATTGTATTTTTACTATTAAGAAGTCATATTATAGAACTCTGTAATTCGATTTTTACTAGTCATATATTCCCATTGAGTTCCATTGTATTTTGGCCTCACATATCCTAAATTCAATTTTCACTAGTAAAAAGTCATATTGTAGAGTTTTATAATTCAATGTTTCATCAATGGGAGTATATGACTTGTAAAAACTGAATTATAGAGCTGCATAATATGAATTCTTACTAGTAAAAATGATCATTCTTACTAAAGACAGCTCGTTCTATTGGTTAAAATCAATTATATTTTATGAAAAATAAAACTATAGTTTCCTCTCTCATTAAATAAGAAGAGTTTTGTGAGTCAGAATAAAGTGCTGAATGAGGAATCAAGGATCATTTAAGATTATATACCAAAAAAACATCTGAACAAACATCTGAAAATAAATAAAATAACTTGCTCAATATTGCAGCTTATTATTGGAATAATGATGTCATTATTTAAAAATAGATTTAACTAATACATGAAGTGAATGTGTAGATTTTTCTACTTATTCAATCACCCATTTGGTTCCTGGGTTGCCCAGAGTCCAACATCAGAGAATTTATCCATCCATCCAACATTGAGAAAACATTTTCTGTTGATTGTATCCTAATAAGAACATAAGAACATAAGAAATTTACAAACGAGAGGAGGCCATTCGGCCCATCAAGCTCGTTTGGGGAGAACTTAGCTAATAGCTCAGAGTTGTTAAAATCTTATCTAGCTCTGATTTAAAGGAACCCATGGTTTTAGCTTCCACTACAATAGCAGGAAGACTATTCCATACTCTGACTACACGCTGTGTAAAGAAGTGCTTCCTCAAATTTGTTTTAAAATGTTCTCCCGCTAATTTCCACTTATGGCCACGAGTTGAATGGTAATCTGAAAAA